CGATGAGTTTCCCTCTCCCCCTCTCGCTATCTGGGGTTCTTTTGTGGGCACGCTATCATGCTGGCCCTGATGATCGCGGACGCTTTTCCTTCCTTCGTTTGAAAAGCCGTTGGGAAGGAAGAAAAGGAATTGGTTTCTTATCGACCGTGGAGCTTCATTCAGCCTGTAACTGGATGCCCACGACACGAAAGCCACGCGAGAGTGAGAAGCGAGAGGCGATTTTACTCGGGGTCGAGTCGCCCCCGCGAAACAGAGGCGATGTCGCTCCGTCCAGGTCGTCTCTACGAGATAGACCAGATGAAGTCGTCGGGGTCGTCGTCTCTTCCCACTGGGAGAGGATTTGTGCATCGTCATAGCAATGTTCTGATGTGCGACCGGCGTGACGAGAATGCCGTTTCAGGCCTGAACCCCGAGCCAGCAGTCCCGAAACCGTGGGGAGAAAGAAACTTGACAGCTGTGCGTGATTTCATGCGTGTGTCACTGGCTTCTTCGTGAGTTGTGATTCACGGAGGGATTTGGAGAAGGCACTCGTCCTGAGCGTGACTAGAACAGAATTCACTTACTCCTGATTCTCACGTAATTTTTTTGAAGGAAGTACTTTTTTTATTTCTCCATTCTTCCTTCTTTGAAAAGAAGGAAGAATGGAGGAAATAAATTACTCATACCTCTCCATCTAAATTTGTTCTCGAGTGTTGGTCTTCTACGCCCTTGATGATGATGCTGTGCTCCAAATAGATATCATTAGCTCATCTATGTGTTCCCCCCCCCATGTCTGGACCATACACGACTCACGTGATGACGTGTGATTTTTTGTTAGTCGCATTCGCAGTAATGATGAATGTACGTTATCTCGATGCAGGTAAATTCATGTATGTGCGTAAAAGTGAACGAAAAAGGTTTTCCCCTCGTGATCGTGAGGGACCGTGAGTCAAAAATCGCTCACGCTCTCACCTCTGCCTCCCATTCGAGACAGATGAGACAGACGCAAGCCAATAATAAGTTTGCGAGCTTCGGGAGACAAGTCTGCAGACGGCGAATATCACGCGCCGCTCGTGTTCGAGAGTATTTTTGGAAGTTAGCGAGTCAAAAAAAGCTTGGAAAATGGGGAAAAAACCCACGAATATGTTATGAAAGCAATGCTCAAATGCCGACAAGAGAAGCGAAAGGAGGAATGAGAGATTTCCAGCGTTTTCTTTTTGCAGTGGCTCATCGTCGATCCAAGAAGGACCAAAGAGGAAAGGGATCCATTCAAAGTTATATAAACATTTGACATCGATGAACCGGTTACTGATGGCACGTACTCCCGCGTCAACATTTTGAACTGCGAGGAAAAACGCGAATCTCGATGGAAATTCAGCACGGAACCGACGAAAGACATTAATCCCACCCCGACCCGAGACCTCCCCAACGGAATTCATATTCCAAGCGCACATAGCATCCTCAGGCCACGACATCGAATCGACATCACTTTTTCTCTTCCACTCGAGAAGGAGAAAAGAACTGAGTCGGCATCCCCTGGGATGCTGACGCGACGAATCCGTCCTCCACCTCACGTGTAAGCGTCGGATCGCTTCTGCCTCTCGGCAGGCCGGCTCGTGTCCATCCATCGAAATCACTGCGAGAGGATTCGGTATAGATAAACGGTGGGGTGCCTTTAGAGTTGGGAATTTTTTCGGTGCGGCGGATCGAGTGCATGTGGACGTGGCTTACTTACGGTAGATGCGACTTTTATTACGTACAGTGTATTATTTCTATAAGTACTTACAGGTACTTGGATTCTGTCACGATGTTCTCCGGTTTCGTTGCGTTAGGGGAAAGGAGACCACACCGTGATGTTGCCACGCCGGACTTTCCTCTTCGGGTTTCCCTGCTGTCTGCGGGTTTCTTTCCGCCCGAATCGATTAATCGAACTCTGCCCGGTCTAAAGTCGAGGATATACCGAGTTTAAATTTCCGGCAAAAATGAAAGACTGGTGGAAGAGTTGAACGCTGAAGCTTCGCTTCCCACAAAGATGAGAAAGGGAGGCTTTCGATGAGTTCCAAGAACAACCCAAATTATATGTCATCATTAACGATACTACTATACTGATGACCTTGCTCACATGAGCAAAAATGCTCAGAGAACTGATCCAGAGGATTGAATGAGGCGGACATTCATGAAATGAGGTATCAAATAGCAAGATAAAGGATAAGAGCCTGCATGTAACCCATGCTTACGTATCTTGTTGAAAGTAAAAATCAGGAAAACAAGCAAGTCACATATGGGTCTGGTTCTCACTTTCGAAGAAGGCAGATGTTCATCACGGTCTCGGAAGTTGGAAGCGATGCCTCAAAATTTCCAGGAGCCGCTAAGCCAAAGAAACTTTTTGCAGAGGGGTTTCATGACCCCGTGACCTCCCAACTGCGCTCCTCGCGTCTGCGGGCCCTCCTGATGTATGGCAACTTCCTGACGGAAGCGGAACGCTTCTGCTATCTCTGCCACAAACCTCAACTTTCTTGGTTTGCGAAGGATTCGGCAGATGGCGATGTAGCTCGAAGACCGTGTATGATGGCGGCCCGCTGACCATGTGATTTCCATATCTGCATTCCGCAGCTTCGCCAGTTGAGACGAGGCCCTTTAAACCGATTTCTCATTCGAAAGTTGAGGATGAGCAATTTGATGTTCTGAGTTATGTATGAGATTGCAAAAATGACTAATCCAGTTGAGAAACTGGCCAAAGTTGTCGATACCCTTCGCTTGAATGCCATCGGATTCGATGCTGTTCATGCTGTCCTTTCTGGGTGAGTTGAAATCTGTCTTGGTGTAGGCACATACTAGTTGACCCGAAAAATTTTGTATAGAGTATTCGTTGACTTGGTGGACATCTGCATGAGTGGGTAGGTTGCAGACGCTTTAAACTAGAGTTTGTGTGTACCAAGAAACAAAACTCACAAGGCTGTTGTGTGATGGTACGATTCCGTCAAGAGGCATGACATTTGAAATTTCATGTAATGCAGGACGTAGAAAAGCATGAGAAGTGGAGAGATATATACATGTGATACCTGACAGCATGGAATATACAATACTGGGTGGTTGTTATGGGAATGTATTGAATTCCCAGAATTCTCTTCATGCTGTGCAGTTTGTGTCATACACAAATCCATTGTCATATCCATAGCAACCCCACATATTTACCTGGTTTAAGTTTACCCTGTGATACTGAGACACATGATCTTATTGCACCCAACCCATTGGAATTTTTAACTGCACAATACTCAGTTGTGGTGACCAGTTATCTTATGCTTTTGAAACAGAGTACACCTTCACTTTCTAGCCCCACTGTCTCCCTCCTCAACTCATACATCTACATCCCAACCTTTTCATATTCCATACTTGGTCAAAAGCTTACCTTGCCTAGTGTCCCTAAGTTCCTCTAGGACCTATTGAATAAATAAATAGTGTGGCAGGGATCAAAGTGGCAACAGTCTACTTGGAGTCAACTCACTCCACCATAATCTTTTGCTTCAAATCACCTTCTAAAGATGAACTGCTCTGTATGAATAGCCTCAGGACTAAAGGGATAGGTCTCTATACATAGTTGATTCCAATTAAAATCTACAAGAATGAAAGAATAGTAATAAAGAATAGTAGAGAAACGTAAGAAGGAAAACTGAATGACCAAATTGCACAAGTTGTTCCTTTCATTCCATTTGAACTTTCTCCAACACTCCAAAGTGCTACATGTTCGCATTAATTGAAATACATATGAGAGGGATTTAAATTCCTACCAGATTTGTTGTTTTGTGTGACATAATGTCTCCATAGTATGGCATTTGTCATGGAATCAACTACCTTGTTTCATAGCCTCTTCCTCCAGCATGTGAGGAATGCATTGCTTCATGGTGTGAGTTCAGAAGCATGGGGATAAAGTGATTCACTGCTGTCCATCACCAGTCTATGATCCACCCCTCATCATGCATGGTGTCAAGGTCAATTATTTGTGCTACAACTTTGATGTCCACCAGGCTGATGAAGCCTCTATGTAGGCCTAATTCTGAAATTGTCAATTAGGTCAGGTATATTATGATGCCATGAAGTAATGCACAGTGAATTTCAATTGATTGCAGCTTCCCTCTCCACCTTTATCTGTATGGCACTGCATGCTATGGGATGTAAGCAACATCTGCCTTTTCAAAATAATTGACCATTGCCAAGTGTTTAAGGCAAGAATTAAGTACCTCCTGCATCCACCACAGGGGGGTTTGCAATTAATTGAGAATTGCTGCATCATGTTAGCTCAACTCCTGGCTGGAATCTAAATGGTTCTTTATTTCAGCTTTGACTATCTTAGTATTATGTGCAATTGTTTTATTATCAGAACAACCAAATATCTGATTTCATAGGCAGAGTGAGGCATACTGCTCTGCCCCAAGTCAGGAAGAAAATGGGATCTGCCCTTGCTAAATGCTTTTCTTTCCAAGTCTCTCTTTGAGAATAGTTACACATCTTCTGTAGACCTGTGGAGAGTTGAAGATGATGATGGTGTTAGTATGGTAGGCCCATTTCTTTCTTTTATGGTGGGGAAGAGGTCCTTTATCATCACATATATCTGAGCGAAAAGAAAATAAGTGTACTAGTCTTAAATAGGCTGATTGTGACAATTATTTATTGGGAAACTGGCTAGAGCCGACCTACAGGTATTAATGCTTTTATCATTGAGGTAGGTGCTTCCAAATGATTCTAGGAACTGGCTCTGGAATTTCTCATGTTTGGAGGCTTGAATCAGTTGAAATAGTTTATAATCATAGTTTTCTTTCTGCAGGCCTAGGTTAGGACCAGGTCTAACATATGAACAGGTGTCAACCTGTGAGGAACCTAAACTCTTCCAGAAAGAAACCCTTGGAGAGTTTGCCCAAGGATCAACCTGGAATTCTTTTGGCCTTGGCTGATGGAGTGGGAAGTCCTTCCACAGTTGCAACTCATCCAGACTTCATCAAGCTGTTGGAGAAAACCATTGGGTTATTGTTGAACACCTGCAGTCATTCTGATGCCTCTGTACGACTTGCTGCCTCTGAAGGCTTAAACAGGATCATTCATGTAAGTCAAGCTAACCAAGCTAAGATAAGATCCAGTATTATTACTTCTTCACTTAAGTAACTGTATGTATAATTTGTAAAAGTCCTCAGGTAGAAAGGACTCATTTTCTTTTTAAAGCCAGAGGCCAGTTATAGTCCCATCCTGTCTGTGTTCCCACTTTCATAGTCCAATTATAATTAACCGAATAAGTACTATGGTATATGTAAGTCTTGGCATGCACTCACAAAATATCAAATCAGAAACTTGGATTGTTTTTGTTGAAGGCCATGCCACAAATAAATATTTTGTCTCAAATTTGATGCATACAAATTACATGGCCTTTATAGAGAGGAAGTGATTATTGGACAATGATCTAATGCTTTCTTCTCTGACCTCACACTGTCCTTCCAGCATTCCTACTTAGTTTTGTTTTGCTTTTCTGAGTTTTGATTTAACACTATGAATATAGTTTCTTTTTTTTAGCTTTTTCTTTTAAGTCAAGGCACATATTTCCTAATAGCATGAAGTATGCAACTGGGATGTGTCTCATTGGAAAGCAAAAGGGAGAGCTCTGGATGAATGTGACATTTGTATTTACTTGCAGACAGTATGTTGACAGCTAAATTTCTGACAATGTCAGGATGTCCATCCTCTTATGCACAAAAATGGCACTCTTGTATGCTCTCTTCCTTCATACCCCATACACAGGAGCTTGCCTTGACAGTGAGGAGGATTCATGTGTAAAGGATTGGTACCTCAGACCTCATGTTTTATACTAAGGCAGCCTCCCTCTTGTGCTTTTCTTGTCTCCATGGGAGCATGAAAAGCCCCTGCCTGTTTTTCATTAATATGCATGGTTTCAATTGTTGAATTACAGTCTGAACTTGGAAATTCACCCCTTTGTTCAATGGGACTAGGGAGAACTGCTATGCCAGTAATCTCTGAATCATCTACATCTTCTCATTCTTCATAAAACAATTCAAGATCTTCATCCAGATCTTTGAATGATGCTCCAATTGTCCAAGGCCTGAGAACTGTTGTTGCTGCCCCAAGCTCATTCACCAGACCTTCTCCTTTTCATGTGCAAACATATGCAAAAGAAGGGATATCCCCTTTTCCCTTCCTTCCAAATGTCTTAGGAGAGGTCTCTTTATCCTTTCTTAATTTCATTTCTTTATTATTAGGTGATTCCATACCTTAATCATATGATACAGATTGATAGAAATATGGAATTTCTTGATTGCATACTCTCTATCATTATTAGAATGTAAAGCATAAAAAAGGCAATCTTGCAGATCCAGGTATTCCCTGGAATAATATACATGGTGATAAAAAAAACTTACCTCATAAATTATGTACCCCTAGGGCTAAACATTAAACTGCAAAACAAATAGTATTGCTACTGTACATACTGTAGAGTATGACTTGATTACATTACATTATAAAATCATTCAATTAATCTTTTAATGGGGTTGATGGAGCAGCTGCGGTGTATAGGGCTTAAGGACTGTAGTATAGCTTAAGGACTTTATAAGACATTGATCTAAGGAATAGGAAATGTTCCTCTCTGCTGAAAAAGTTAGGATCTTCTTGGACTCCTTGTCATGGCTTCTGATACAAGGTCTTTGTTAGCTTCTGTAGTAGCAGTTCTAGATCTACCAGTTCCCCCTGCTTACTCCTTAAGGAGATGGAAAGTTTCTAATTTATGTACTTTATGATCTTTAGTGGGACAATGTTTTTTTTCTTCATAGCTCAAGGTTGAATGGCAATATTTTTTATCCTCAATAGAACCTGGAGGAGACCCAGATCACCAGGATCCTAGTCTTTTTGTTCAATGGAATGTACAAGTGTGAAAATGTGAAGAGCATACGTGTAGCCCTACTAAGATTTGCCTCATGTGCTCATCACATCAAGTCAGTTTATGTTCAAAGCAGGAAGGTGAACGATCATCCTAGGGACTCACATTATTGATATTCCACTATGTAGGTTGGGGAAGAGAGCTATATATGTGAAGAAGTTGGTGCCATGCTTTCAGCGCTTGATCAAGAAAAATGATGAAATGTTACTGGAGACTCTCAGCAGTGCTTTCCAGCTGCTTTGGCCTCATCTTGGATTGTTCTTGTCTGAAAAGGAGGCTCAGGTTAGACAAGGCATTTGTTTTCCATGCCTTATCATTTAAAGAGGCGAGAATGAATTCTTACATGAAAAAAAGTCTCTGAGTCATTCTTGAGTTAGAATATTTTCTCTTTATGCCATTTTTTCATCAGCAAAAGCTTTTATTGCTTAAGCTCATTGATGTCCTGTTTATTGAATTTCTTATTGATATATTTTTTTAAACAGTCACTCTTAAAACCTCTCCTATGGGCCCTTCAAGATGATTCTGGTGGAATGCGTCGTAGTGCAGCCCATTGCATTGCATTCCTCGTCAAGGATGGACGTTGCCCAGCACGCCTCTGCAATTGGGTCTTACAACGACTTCTTGGTTAGCTTCCTTTCAGTTTAGGGCTCTTCATTAGTATTTGTATTTCTTCTCTGATAATAAGTGTGAGTTGGATTGCAGAACCTGGCAAACTTCTTTTGGGTGGGATTGGGAACAAGGCACTGCATGGTGTTCTTCTTTGTCTTCGCCTTCTTACTCCTCAATTCATGGAGCATTTAAAAACAAGAGATTTACACGAAAAGCATATTGGAACTTCAGCCAAAGACATCCTCTCTTCCCATGATGGATTTCCTTCTTTGACCTCCTATCTTCAGGTAAAAAAAAGTTTTCTTGAAATATTTCAGCCTAACTTCATATTATTTTGAGCATGATTCATTTTATTATCCCAGATGTTGGAGCTCTGCATGGGTGGACTGGTGCATTTAGATATCTCAGTAGTGACAGGGTCCTTGGAATTGCTCCATGCACTCCTACTCCATGCTCCACCAGATTTTGTGAAAGCATTGTTATCATCAGGGGCCCTGACATCATCTTTGTTTCAAGATTCCTCTTCCCCCTTGCTCCCCTCCCTTACTCAAAGTAAGCACTGGTTTGTTTGTCTAAGAACATGAAATAGGCTTCCCAATGGTCTGAAATTAGCTATTGCATAAGAGTCCAAACATTTTCAAAGATAGAATAAAAATTCATGTACATTGTGCTTCTGATGAAAACTATGTGGTTGCACCTTGAACTACATCTTTTAGGATAGCTAATTTGATTAATAATACATGAACCCAGTAAAACTTATATCATGTTAATAAAACTTGATGATGGACATAAATAGTTAGTTTATGAACACAATGCTAGTGAAAAGTGTAAACAGAATAAGATTTTTAATGTATGAGGTGTGTTCAGAAAGTTGTGATTATTATGATATAGCTCCTTGTCTGTTCAGGAACAGCTCTGTAACACCTAGTGCTGTAATGACCGTTTTTCTGCACCCATGTGAAATTTAAGCTTTGTATCCAATTAATTTTTTTTTTTACAGGTTTTCAAGTGCAGTTGGTTGAAATCAACATTGATTATGGCTAATTTTTCAAAAGAGGGACAAAAGACTGCTGCTTCCTCCTAGGAACTATGCTAGCTGAAAGGGCAGACCCTCTATCGACTTAAAAATGCTCATCAATGCTTAGCAGCATTTGTTGCCTTTTTCAGTAAAACAAATGTAATAACTTCTTCTGAAAAATGTGTCATAATTAACCAAGGGGATTCAACTAACTAAACATTAAAAGTTTACTTTTTAAACTAATGAAATTGGATAAAATGATGAAAATTTGTACAGGTTTAGTAGAAACTTAACTGTTAATGTACATGATTATATAATTCTGCTCTAAAAAAGATGAAGGAGCATTGCTGCAGTTATCATTTGTTTTTGAATGTCCCTTTTATTAGTAATGTACCACCTTTATCGAATATGATCCTGCATTATGTATGATTTGGTCCATGGTCAGAAGAAATCCAATATTTCCAGAAGAGGCTAGACTTGCAGTCAGAGTTAGAGGCTTTACATTACCTCTGTGACAATCTTGAACTGATTTTTGTTGATTTTCTTCAGGTATGTCAAGTGTAGCCCAAGGAGACTTGGATTCCCTGGCAATGGATGGCTCTGAAATGGATGGGAATCGATCAGGATCCCAGTCCATGGAGAACCTTCTACTTCATCACAATCGATCCACCAGTGAGTCCCTTTTTCGATTTTTCATGTGCAATAGCCATGGATTGTAGGCAAGAATGGGGTTGAAGTCTTAGTAGGAATGTAACTCATCAAGACTTAAGGCAGGTTTAAGGTTCTTAATGAGGCATGATTTGCCTGATAGTATGAATCATTGTGGGTTATAGTCCTTTCCCATACATCCGCTCCCCCCAAACTATTGAATAGTATTCACTGTATGCATGATCCCCAGAATCAGCCTTGCAACAGTAATGCATAGCAGCTTCACCTTTTTATTTCATGACAAATGTTGAGAACAGGAAAATAGGATCAGGCCAAAGTGAGAATCTTAGAAGTGGAAGTTTTCCTGACATCTATGCCATCAGTCTTTCTTTTCTGGTCTGTATTGGATTTATATGAGCATCAGTTTGCTATGGTTATTTCAAATGAACCTTTTGTTCTTGCACTTGAACTCTCAGTTAAATGTGGCTCTGCATAAGTGAAAGGGAGGAGAAATTTCAGTGTTGCAAGTGCCAAAGCTTTTACTGTGGGGGAAAAAAAAATGAACAGCAAAAGAGCATCATATGGAACAGGTGATCTGGGAGAGGACAGCAGGGAAGTACCACAGAGACTGGCAGCATCTTCATATGCAAGTCAGGAGGGGAATGAAGAGAAGGAGAGAGGAGAAGAGTCTGATGGGATGAACAGTCGGGCCAATTCCTCTAGCTATTTCCCTCTTGAGATGGGAATTGTTCAAGGTATGCCCCATACCCAGTTTACATCAACTCTTTTCAATCCCCATTCTAAACAGAGATAATATCTATTTCTTCCTTCTCCAGATGATACATCAGAAAGCATAACCCAAGACAGAGATGATGTGTTTGAACAGGATATCCGTGAGAGGGCTCCATTACAGTTGCAGGGAACTCTGGATGATGAAGACTCCTCTGAATTTGATCAGGATGAAGCTGTGCCATTTCAGAGCGTAAGCATGCTTACTTCTAGTTGTTCTTTTGGGTCCCATTCTAGCTTCTCTGTGCCATCTTCATAATTCCTGTCTCCTTTACCACGAAGCTGAGAATAATAATACATACGAGAGAAAACAAATACTCTGAGAATATGTGAATGCATGTACTCAGGTACCAGTATACCAGGGTCCCTCCCCTCCACCTGGTTGAATTTCTGCATTTTTTGTTCCTTTCTTTTAGCTCTTATTCTTATAAATCCAGTGTAAATATGATATTTTGATATTTTATATATTAAAAATAGGCTCTGCGAGCTGTATTGCAGAACTCTCACACGGGTATAACAGCTTTAAGGAATAGGTCTAAAAGGAGACCATTTAGTGATATATCTTTCCCTATCTATTTTATTTGTATATGGTCATGAAGTGTACAAAATGATAAAGACAATGGTGTTTGGCCATTTAGGTGAAGCGAGAGGAACTTGGGAGCCTTTTTGACGAGGAGCCGACGTGGAAGTACGTTGGGAGGGTTCTGGGATGGTGCTTCTTGTTGGAAGGAACACCAGGTTCACTCTTATCAGATCCCATCATTAGAGTGAGCCTGAAGTCCCTTGCTTTGTCCTGCATCACTGCCTTGCTCCACCTTCAGCCGCATCTCCTCTCCTTGCAGCTCACAGGTCTCTCTTCCCAAATGGGCTTTCTTATGCTTAAGTCCTTTGAATAATGTACTTATTGAGTCAGATCATAGCATATATTATTAGAAAATTCACTTGGGTGTAGTAACTGTGACAGCCTGCTTGCTGATAGAAATATGGCAGAATTTTTCCATACATAATACAACAAAGTTAAGAGAAAAATCTCTTGATGATACAAAAAAATTTTTTGTATAGAAGTACTGTAATCACTGTGATGGTGTTGCAAAGCAGTTATTTTTTTTAACCTAAATATTGTATTTTAAAAATCTCTGCTCTGGCAGTAGGACCATTGCCATAAGCAGACCTACATCAATACCTCTTTTTTTTTTCTTCGCTTTAAAGATTATTTGACATAAGCAGGCATGTGCTGCACTCATCGCCAAAAAAAAAGCTATACAAATAAGCTGTTGAGCGATCTTAATGAAAATTGGTATACAAGCTTGTAGAATTGTATCATGAAGCGCCATGAAGTTGATTAGAGTTGCAAGAAGAAAGGATGAATATTCATGGAGAAAACTTGTCATACATTCCAGTTTAAACGAGAGCAGGGGGGGGGGAGTCATAAACGCTCAAAATGATCACACAGAAGGAGTTAATTAATGGAACGTGGAACAAGAATTCGGGTTTATTCAGAAATTGTGCTAAGTTTCATTTTCATTAGTAGGAAGCAGATTTGTATGCCCTAATGTGCGCTTAATTGACATACTCATATCTTGTCGCTGCCCATGACTGCTGGAATGCTTTGATTGTTGCTCATGAAGAAAATACGTTTTCCTGGAAACTATTATTCTCTACAAAAAAAAAGGGCGAAATATGCGTTAATAAAACGTCAAGAAGGGCCAGGACTGCCTTGGGGCTGGGAATCTGTGAGGGCGAAGACCTTCTCCTTTCCTTGCCTCTGCCGCTCAGGTTTTTATTGGAAAACAATTAAAATCATTAAAATACAAATTTTAAGTGGATTTATCCTATGGGACTTTTTGGACTGTAAATATACCTTAGCAGTGAAATCATTCATAAGAGTACTCAGACGTACACTTGGGTATTTAAAAAAAAAGTCCAGAGGATTTTTGTCATTTTAACCTCTTCAGACCCTGTGGCATGTACACATACCAAACATTAACACGTTGAAACCCCTGCTGAAATCGCTTCTATGTCATGGATCACACTGTAAGCAATAGAATAATTAAACAGAGTTCCCGAAAAAAAAAATGATGCGCTTCATTGGGCTCAGTTTGCGTCACAGCAGGGGCTAGTGAACTTGGCACTTCTTTGAATATAGCCGCCCGCGTCGTCTGCGATCATAAAAGCCATTGTCGACTGCTCATTATTGACCCTAAAGTTATGTTGAACTGCATTACCAAATAGTGTGGGAAACTATTTATAAATAAAGGGATACCTGACTTATCATAAAGCTCTTATGGGATAGGTCAAAACATAGATGGAACGTACACATGCCACGAGGCATTGCGCCAGTAAATTTGCGTTTCAGGGTCCGAATACACGGAACTCCTTCATCAGCTTGAATGCAGTGGCATTAATGCACCTGACATGTGTTGGAGCCCTTCCAGCACCAGGCTGGCGAAATCGAAGAGAAAGACCAGAAAGGAGACGAAGATATGGACAGTGGCGGATCCGGAGAAAGAGGGGGGGGGGGGGGGGGGGGGGGGNGGACGGGGGGGGACCCGGAGAAGGGGGGGGGGGGGGGGAGAGAGCCACCACTCATGATAGTTTCTGGTGCATATTTGCAGGCAGTGCCTCCCGCTTGATTCACCATTTCTTCATTCATCAAAGAAACCATTTCTTGTGGTGCTGTTCACATACCGGGTATTTGAAAAAGTGAGAATCACAGTACGGAGGGCCCAGGAGATTAATGACCACTCCCTAGTGAGCGGGGTGGGAAGTGTGGGGTACCTTGGTGCTTCCGTATTTCCGAAATACCATCCAGCCTAATTACTACTATTGTTGGCGCAATGACAGTGACAAGGCCTTGAACCATTTTCGAATACGATCTATGATGACTGGCTTCCATAAGTGTCTTTTTTGGTCAAAAAATGCATGTTGTCGATGGCGCACCTCTATGGAGGAAAACCCGGTGGTATGTACACATCCCACTCTATTCCTCCAATACCAAGAAGGATTAAAAAAATATTGGGCGTCTTGCTTTGGCCATCGGAGGTGGAGCTTAGGTTATGAGGCGAAGGATTTCAGTCAAAGTTGGCATGCAACTTTGCCGTCGGGTCGGAAGAGGTGAAAACTGAGAGGAAGCGAGGGTTAAGCTGCTCTGCTTTGATACTTATTGATTAGTCTGTCATTGATTGGAATCGATAGGTTTCTGAAAACTATTTGGAAGAATATGCCAACCCAGGCCCACCCTCCACTGTCGTCTGCCTTCCTTTGTCCTCCTCTCCACTACCAGCATGAGCTCGCGTTCGTTTTCATCATCCAACTTCTTTTCGTTCGTTGCTTGTAGCCTTGGAGAGATGAATTTTGTCGAAAATTTGAAGACACGTGGAAAACATGTCCGTGTCGGGAACATGTACTCATCTGCATGCAGCGAACGTTTTGTGAAAATCCCTTCCTTGGAAGCAGAGATATTTTGGTTAAGTCATTGGAGTTTTAGTCATGAGCCCGTTCCATTCGAGTGCGTGCGTGAATCCGCGCCAAATTAGAAACGATCCCTTGGCCTCCCGCCGACCGGCGTAGGTGTGCGGGCATCGCGACAGCTCGTGCTCGGGCGAGTTGAGCTCAAGGAGATGAAGACGATGCATGTCTTCGATCGAGCGCGCCTCGAAGCATCTCGACTCGAGTTATACGGACGAGATAGAGAGGAGCAGGAGAAGAAAGTCGGACCCAGGCCGAAAGGAAAAAGTCGTGTTCTGGAGAGGAGATGTGACCGATCCCCCGACCTTCATTTTTGTGGTTTTGCGAGCTACGTGCTGCCTGTGTGCCTGTAGAATGCAGGCAGAATGGACTCCCATACCATTGTCCTCATCACGTGAAATGTCCATTCGAGTTGACCAGATCCCCAGCGGGCGTATTGCGACTGTGCAGGGCAGCAGTAATCGCTCAGATTTATTGAAAATGGCTATTAAAGTGAGGACTTTTGGTTTCATTTCCTCGCGAAACCCTCACTCCTTTCTGTATCATCTGGTGAGCATCGCCTTTGTACTAGCCTTCACCTTTTGTTTTATAAATAGAAGAAAGACTGCATATTTGCATCTGCACCGAAGAGCGAGTTACCCTATATCTCCATTATAAGTCGTCATTTCATCGGATATCAGTCGCAAAGAAATGCATTTTCGATGCTTCGAAAAAAAAACTGTTCAATACAGTACAATTGGAAATTTAATATATGGATCAAGGGAGAAATATGAGGATTGATTGAAATGTTATCATTTGGTATTGATTTTTCTCATTGCGATTAAAGCTTTAGTCAATTATTCTGTCAATTCCTGATTAGAGTCGGCAATCCCATGGGGGAAAAAAATGAATTTTATTTATTTATTATTCCCATTTCTCTCAGCAGAAAAAGGTGACAGGGAGAAGAGCAAAGAAGATAAGCCGGGTCAGACCCTTTGGGACGTGTTGCTCTTCCGAGCCCATTCCGACCCACAGCTCCGCAGTCAAGTCCTTCTCCTCGTCTCTGCGATCACCAAGGAATCCTTGCTGATCCCTAGCATTTTGACGTCATCGTCACGTACCTCTAAGGATCTCCTCTCGTTTCTGGAACAGGTGAGAAGGACAAGTTTGATATGAAGGTTCTCCTTTCTTTATCCTTTGTGTGTTTTTTTTTTTAATATTCATCGATTCATATACTTTGAAGGGATTGAGAGATAAGTCCCCTGTAGTGATCAAGCAAGTGATTCAGGGCCTCCAGATTCTCTTCCCTACTCTGATGGAGAGCAGTCAGGCAAATTTGGCTCTTCCTATTCTCCATATGTTCCCATCTCTTGCTTCTTCACCCTACTGGCTTGTCAAAGTGAGTGAACCAAAAATCATTACGTATTGATGTTTATGGATCTGCTCTCTAAGTGTTGAGTCTACTAGCGCAAGGATAGAGAAATGCCATCTTGTCCTATGCATGATATCATTCATGTGTACTTGAATGGATTACAGGCTTTTGCTGCTGCTTTCCTCCATCACTTCTATTGTATAATTTTACTACCATCACGGTTAGTGTTGTGGTACATTTGAGTTTGCAATCCAATAGTTGATGGATTAGATTTTTCTGAGCATTTTTAATGCATTCTTCTAAGTGGAAGTATGACAATGCACAAACATGATTTCTATTTCTGTCCAACCCACCTCCTCCATGGAACCACTGTGTGATGGAGATCATTGTGAATATTGTCTTTAACCAATTCTATGGTTTTATATTCCAGCCCCATTATTGCATATAGTAACTTAAACTACAGGGTGTCCCATAAGTCCGGCATCATAGGAAAAATTCATATTTTTCTATTTCTACAGGCCATAATGTCTCTGAGCAAGGAAGAACAAATCCAAATAATTCTCCTCATAGGAAATTGGAGTCAAAGAGAGGCCGCTGCTGAATTTAACAGACTGCATCCAGACCATGAGCCAATAACACAGAGTTGTGTTAGCAGACTTGTTGCAAAGTTTAAGGAAACAGGATCTAGAAGATAAACCATGCAGTGGACCTTCAAGGAGGTCCACTGACGATGATACAGCGACTGCTATCCTTGCTCATTTTAACAGAAGTGTATAAAAGCTTTTGTTTTGCCTTTTTTTAGCATTTTTCCTATGATGCTGAACTTATGGGACACCCTGTACAGCAATTAGAGGGTCAATAATTTGGCCATCATGCCTATAGGTTGAGCTGCTGGAGCTGTTGTCTCGGATCAACCTGACGGAGGTGAGGTACATGAGTTCAGAGGATACCAGGCGAGACATGGGAGAAATGCTTGTGGAAACAGTACTGATTCCTTGTACCTTTGATAAGGATCACAGGGTTAGGAATGCTGCATCTATGGCTTGGGTCAGGTGAGGTCCAATCACTTTTATCTGTATCAAATTGGGTCAGTTGAGGTGATTATGCAACATAAATTAAAATTTTAGATTCTCCTCCATTTATTGATGAAATTGAGTGCAAATCAAGTAAATGATTGATCTCTGGTTTTGTTCCTTGTATACAGTATGACATATATATATGCGCTTCAAAATAGAAATGAGGTGACTCTCAAATTAAATTCCATAATTACCCATAATATGAGGCAATTTTATTTCATACGTGGCATAAATATGAAGTCTCCCTATTCAAAGTTACTCAGAACATCTCTCAAGGTGCAGATATTGAAGTGCACAAAGGTAATTGTGAAATACTGAGATACTTTTAGGCAGTAAGTTTTATTGTTGCCAGGCGATAGGTTTTAGTTACTACAATTAGTGTGATGACATTTCCATACAACATGCCTTCATTTCCTTTGTAATGGAAATAGATTTTTTCAGGTTTTTCTGGGGGATTCAGAAATGACTAATTTGCCCTTATTCCCATGGACTTTCATTTTAATGGAAATACCTGACTCCCTTGATGACAATGCAGAGAAGAGAAATATCTAAACTGAAAGTCCTTCAATCAGTAAAGTCTGGACTATTCTGCTTGGTATTCCAATGGGGCTAAGGCGTGTTGCAGAATGACTTACAGGTAGGCCTACTATTGCAGAAATTAAGCAGTCATGTCTTTATTCTTGGAAATAAAAATTCAGAGAATTCTCGTCTGAAATGGGTGTATTGATAATGGTTTGCATGTAGGAAACCACCAGCATCTGCCCTTTGTTTCAGAAAACTCCTTCATTGGTTTTAGCTTGAACCTTTTCTAGCTTCATCTTTCACCCATTGTCCTTTCCATTTCTTTTAAGGAATGACAAAGGATTATATGAAATTTTAATCCCATATTTAGTTTCTATTTGCAGGACATTTTTTATTTCTGAAAAACCTCAAAAAACTTGCTTCAAAATTACTCAAGAACAAAGGAAATTAGAGGAGTTATGAGTTACATGCCTAGAAAATAAATGTTAATGATGACAATTTAAAGTCTAAGTTCCATTATATGAGAAACTTTAAGGATATAACTGAAAATAAATTTTTTTATAATTTGGCAGTTATTTTTTTTGGCAGTGTTTCACAGTCTGTGAAATAAATAAAAAATTATTCCCCCATCAAGGTTCATGATCCTCCCAGTCAGCCACTTCTGTCCCTTATGACACCAATGTTGTTATCATTTTGCATCTTTTTTTCTTGTCATAAAGTACTTACACCTGAGAAGTTGTTTTTTTCTATTTTCAGAATGAACAGATCAAGATTTTTGTACGTCTTGTGATGCTCTGACAAATTGAGCATCTATCAGTGTATTGATTTCATGTCAAGTTTTGCTAATGTATTGGTACAAGATTGTTGTGCATCAAACAGTATATTATCTGTTCCTCATTGGCTGATATTAGGTTTTCCCAGCATGGCAAATTTGTCTTACTTTGACATAGCGGTCATTCAAGTGTTCATGAGGTAACCCTTGCATTGGCATATTTGTGCTCTTGGGAATGCCTCTTGGAGCAGCTTGATAAAGCCCAGGAGAATGCAGGTTGTCCTGGAAGGGAAGGATTATGATCCAGATGGGCCTTGTTTTTCTTTGTAGGATCATGGCAGACTTGGCAAGCACCAGCAACCATCTGACAGCCTTTGTTGGGTGTTTGTCCCAAGTTCCCTTGGAAACAGGAGTCTCCACCTCCTTTGCCTACTGTCTCCACTCCCTGTTCTTGCTTTTGAGGAACTGCTCCAGACAGCCCCAGAGAGCAGGCCTTATCCTTGCTCTTCACCGCCTGATTGATGCTTATCCAGTAAAGCAATTCCCTAAAGCATGGGGGTGCACACACAGCAACGAAGGCATTTCTCGCTTCACTCATATGCTTGCTCTTCTCTGCCTCTCTGATGTTGTCCTCGACTATGGGATGCTCGAGTCCCTGCTTCACATCCTTGCTGAGTATTTTGAAGGTGAGATTGATTTTTTCAAGCTTCTGTGACTCAGCCCTGGGATGCATAATAATTTCTACGAGGGTCATCCCAAAAGTTCAAGAACAAATGTGAATATTTTCTTTGCATATCATTCAACAACAATGGTATTATTATACTGCTCATATTGATCCCTCTTCGTGATAACGTAGGAATGATGGTGTAATTGCTCCTTATTGCAGAGATATCTCATTTTCAGGTTGACCTATATTTTACCACTATGAAAGAAAATGATTGGGTCCAGCAAGGTGTGATTTGGTTTCTGTGGAAACAGAAAAAGTTGCAGGCCCAGTTTGGTTGTGAGCTGCAAGAAGTTTACAGGAACAGAGCTTTTGGCAAAAGTGCCATAAATAAGTGGGTGCATTGCTTTGAAGCAGGATGGGATACAGTGGATGATTCGCCAAAGTCAGGTCGGCCAATAGAGGCAACCACAGGCACTCAAATTGAACATGTGCATGCTGCCATGAAGTTGGACCTGCACCCGACTGTAGAGCAACTAGCTGAGCAGCTGCACGTGTCAAGTAGCAGCGTATATCACATTTTGATTGAACACCTGGGCATGTTGCAGTTAGTTGCCCATTGAGTGCCCAAATTGCTCAGCGCTGAAATGAATCAAGCCCATGTGACTATTTGTCACCAGCTGCTAGAAATGCATGGCACTGGGCTGACTGAGTTCATGCGTAGAATAGTCACTGGCGACGAGTCTTGGTTTCATTATTACCAACCAGAGTCAAAGGCACAGAGTAGTCAATGGATGGCAAAAGGTGATATGCCCCCCTCAAGGCGAAAGCAGTGCCCTCTGCTGGAAAGAGAAAGGCCATCGTATTCTGGGACTATGAGGGAATTTTGCTTATTGAGTGGCTGCCCCGCAAGCAAACGATCAACAGTGACTAATACATTTCAATTTTGTCCAAGTTGAAGCAGGCAATCAAGGACAAGCGCCATGGAAAGTGGTCATGCAAAGTTTTACTCCAACAAGACAATGCATGGCCTCACACCAGTCAAGCAACATTGGCTGTGATCAAGAAACTAGGCTATGAATTGCTGCCACATCCCACCCACTCATTGGACCTCGCTCCCAGTGACTACTGGCTTTTTTCAGAAATGAAAAAACCTCTGCGGGGAAAGCGCTATTCGAATTTGCATGAGCTGGCTTCCACTGTGAGCCAGTGGGTTCAAGCGACCCCAGCAAATTGGTTTGCTCAAGGACTAGAGAAGCTGACAGAACGGTGGCACAAGTGTGTGCAGCTGCATGGGGAGTATGTTGAGAAATTTCACATGGAATGATGCTGCATTTAGCATTCCTACTTGGTGTAGAATAAAATGTTCTCAAACTTTTGGAATGACCCTCATACTTTGATTGGTATGGAATGGCTGCATGTAATTCTATTGTTGCTTCTGGATAGGCTTTTTTTTAAAGGCTTATTTAACAGGTGAGACTTGAAAATATTTGTGACTCTTTGAAATCATTGTTGCGATGAGACAGCAGACAGAGCATTGAAGTTATTCTTGCTATATAAGTTTTATGTAATCTCCAAGAATTTTTAAGAATCCTAAATTTTTAAGTTTTCCTTTAGTCATGTCACCACATGAAGTATATTGCAAAGGCAACTTGTGTCTTGGGAGTTATCAGAAGATAACCCTCTCTTCTTGTCAGATGATGAGGGTATGATAAACCAAAATGAGCTCAAATTGAAGAAAACTATGTTTGTGTGGAAGAGCATTTGTTTCTTGAGGTGATAATCTGGGAATGCATTATTCCTAGAAGCCTTGGTTGCCTGAGACAGGGGTCAGGGGTGAGTCTGATAGATTCAGTAGTTATTAGTATTGGGGGAAAAAAGCCTTGACAAGAATTGTCACTTTAGTCATTGCTCTAGCACAACAATGAATTTCAAGTTACTTTTGAATCATAAAACAACTGGAGTAAATGTAAACAATTTTCACTTTATTCAGAAGGTAGGTGAAAGTAAGCATTAAAAAGGCTAGCTTTTACTGATCACTTATGGACACATGGGCCTGATTAGTCTGTATGAATGGTGCTCTTCCCTTCATCTTTCTCCCAGAGGGCTATGTGGCCCTTTCTCTGTCCAAGTTGATGTATCCTGAAGGTTTCAGCTGATAGATCTATAGGCCTTCTGAAGGACACTGAAAAGAGAATGTGTTCAAATCTGTTCAAAAATTTGCCAGTAATACAGGATTTAATATTCAATATCAGGTGAATTAAGCTTATGATTGCTTCTTAGCCATGGTTTTTTTATTTTGGTATAATTTCACTTGTAGGTCTTGGTGTTGAGTTCATCAAGATCAAGCTGAAATCCAAAGATCAAACTGGATCTACTCAGCAGGTTTCTTTTTTGAAATTCTCTTTCTTTTGAAGTTCCAGTCAAGACACCTATTTTCATTGACATGATGTAGATCTCTGGGGTGAGGGCAACCTACATGGACTGGTTATTGAAGTTGCTTGATGTATGCACCCAATCGCTGGGGATGCAGACAGCAACTCAGCGCAACCCCTCTACATTCCCAGTCTCCTATGCCCATCTATCATCATCTGTCCGCAGGCGACTCACCAGACGGGACAAGGATCGAGTCATCAGAGGTTGAGAATTGGGTCCCAGATGCAGGCAATCATGAATTTATAGCATTCTGAGATTTTCTTTGCTTTTTATATTCTTCTATGGCAATAGACACAATGGTGGAACATGAAGAACATTTCACTGGCCAGCAGACTCTTCTAGGGAAACTCCAAGAAGGTCTTGCCCGACTCTACTCCACCTTCAAGGTAAACTTGCATTCATTATCCCTTCAGTAGTCAATGATTGCAGCAAGGGTCTCCCTAAAGCAAAAGAAAGTTTGAGATTTTCAAGTTTCATATTTATGCTGGTGATCTCTGAGATAACAATTTAGCAATTTGTGTAGGCTGTGCCATGATCTTGAAAAATCTGATACTTGACATATTTTTGTGAAGACATGTGATAGTAATTAGGCAAAGTACTTTGAAGAGATTCTTTGGGAAGGAAGAGATGAAAGAGTTAATATGACCAATCTGGGTTCTGATAGTTACAAGGTTGAGGATGAGATCACAAGTGATACATAGAAATGAATTTAATCTACTGCCGCCAACCAAATCACACTCAATGTGAATTCTACCCAAGGCTGATCTACTAATTTCAATCCTAAGCTATCCAAAGAATAATCAAAGGCAGCAATAGGACTTTTATTCGCTTTTAGATTTGGAAAAAAAGAAAACTGTCATTGTTGAGAGTTTTAGGCATATGAGAGGTGTGATGTATGGGAATAGTTATGTTTTGGCATTATCAGCATGGTGAACATATGGCAGTCACTCACATTTGCATAATTGATGTCAGTGACCTTTGCTATTATGTTATCCATTTGACCATTTATCATAATTTTTCATGATTGCACCTTCAGAAAAGGTTAATATATTGCATTTTGGTAGAGTATCTCATCATATTAAATTGGTTTGGTAATGTGGACCTGGTCACAGGGGAGTCAAGAGCGTGAGAGTCTGGAAAAGCTGCAGGGAATTGTACGAGGTTGCCTCCAGGGGCTGACCAGTGTCCTGAGGGTGTCTTCTGCTCTTGAGATCTCATCTCATGCTGAGGAGATCCTTCATCATTTGCTTGGCACTCTTCGTATCACTCCATCTCATGCCATCATTTGTGCTCAAGAGGTTTGCCACATTTTTCAAATTTTTCTTGCTAATTTCTTAAATTAGTTTTGATTGATGAGTGAAAGGGACTGTAGATGCTGACATGCCTGTTTGGAAGCAATTTGAGTTCAGCAGGGCAACCAATTCGCCCTTACCTGGAACACTCGTTTCCACAAGAGGTGGAAGTACTTGCTGCTATTGAAACAGTTTCAAAGCCTCCAACATTACATGATGCTACTTTTCGTGCTTCCTATCAGCATCTTCTTCAAGCCATTCATGCTGTGTGAGTCTCTCTGCTTCAAAAATTGAAACTAGGGATGAATATAAATTTTTATTGAATTTATTTTTGCAATCCAGTCGGAATAAGCAGGCTTTGGGTGACAAACGAGTGAAAGACCCTTCACCATTGGTGCTCTCAGGGAAGCGGGAAATCGATCTCCCATCTCTTTCATCTTATATTCGACTCTTTGAACCTTTTGTCATATCTGTTCTTCGGGTGAGTTAAAAAAGATATAGCATGACATCCACTGAAATGGATTTCATCCAACCAATTTCTTAAGGCAAATTATGCTCCAATGAAGTGGACTTATGAATATCCTCTCAAAGTCTAATTATATTTAAAAATTGACAGAGTTATGCATCTTGGGAAGTGGAACACCAGCGGCATGTTCTGGGTCTTCTGGTCACCCTGGTGCGCTTGCGACTCAACTACTGCCTTCTTGACACGAAGGGCACCTTCCTCAGCTATGTTCTTGGACAGTTTGACTACATTGAGGCTGGTCACATGAGGCATGTTTGAGTGTCCTCAAGCATTTTGTTCCCCCCCCCCCCAATCCTGACACATTTGATTGGTTTGTTGCAGAAATGTGGAGAGGGGTCTGGGTGATATTTTCCGCTTTCTCCTCCTTCTATCACATGACTCCCTTCATCCACGGCAGCTGCTTCCCTTTCCAAAGCTCATGAGATTGGTTGACTCTCTTCTAGCTTCTGGCCAGGACCCAAGAACTCACTGTATATACTCTACATGCTCTTTCCATTATCCAGTTTTCCATTATGCAAACTGGAGAGTTGTTTTTTGTCTTAAGGCTTGCCAGGTCTTTTGCCATTGGTGGAGGATCTGTATTTACATCGTGGGTGGGGTCCAACATCTTCAACTGAGATTGAGACCCAGAAGGAGGTCCTTCTCTGCACACTTCTCAAACTCTCTTCATTACCTCAGGTAGGCATATAGTTTGCAAATGTAGGAATTCTCACTCAAAATGAGATTTTTTTAGACTTTGCTTCTCCTGGAAATGTCATTCCCAGGCATTGTCTTCCTTGAGGCTGATTCTGGTGTGCACATTACGGGAAAGTGAGGAGAAGTGGCATAGGCTGTCTAGATTTGTTTTTGACTCCCTCTTCTCTCGTCTCCTCACCAACGAAATCTACCTGGAAGAGTCTAGTGCCCTAGCTTCCCTGCTCCCAGTGATGTCACCCCAAGCATTCCGACCAGTTGACCCCTTGCTCCAACTTATCATGGTCACTCCACCCTTAGAAGTGAGTTTTTGCCTGGATCTGGGATATTGAATTTATCTGTTTTTCCTTTATGATTTCAATATTTATGCTTAAAATTATATCCTAATTCATTCATATCCTTAAGCTACCCTTTAAGCTCCCCAAAGGGAAGGTTCTTGTTTTCATTTTTCCTTTATTACATTGAAAGGAACCTCTCATTTAAGGTACATTGCTGGTGTAATACTAATAAAGGCATGAATTTTCGCCTTTTTTTTCACTCAATGCTGAATTGCCTTTCTTTTTTATCTATAGACTTTTAATGTAGACTAATTAACAATATTCACAGTCAGATTCAAGCTTTAAATTATCTGGTAGATTCACCTTTCTACTATAATAATGCAAAGCCTGAACAATGTTTATGAACTAAAAAAATACTCACATTGATGTATAAACTCTCATTGATAGGAGCCTGTCCTGTCCCAAAATGTATGTGGAGAAAACATTGCTCCTTATGACTTCTAAGTGACCATGATTTATTTCAAAGTCAAGAAAATGTCATAGAAATCTTTGCAATGCCATGTTAGATTAAAACTAGGTGTCCATAAAGTAGAACTACATCTTTTGAATAGTAGAAGCTTTCCTAAAAAATTTTATTACCTAATTATATGGAAAAAATGTATATCATATGAAGACTGCAAGAGGCTTCCTCTTCATTTTGTCCTCAAGCTGCTCATGATGTGCCATGAAACCATAAGTTTTCAGTGGAAATAAATCCAAGATCCTTTATGGACAAGGGGAGCAGTTTGACATAGGTCCTGTTCTTGGCATTAATCTCTAGACATCTTTGCAGAATCCTTTGCTGATGAAAAGATGGATGAGGCGTCTTTTACCATCTTTGGAGATCCTGGCAGCACATTCATCTGAGGAGGTGATTCTTTCCAGGCTACCCCATCTCAATCTCTGCTATCCCATTGATGAGACACCCTCAACTCCTGCTCTTCAGTGGGCTAGGTATATCCCACCTACATCTCTCACAGAATCTAATGCAGGAAGTTTTGCCCTATCCATTGGGTGATTTTCATTTAGGTTCCTTTTGGATGTGCTGAATGTGCTGGCCGGTGAAGTGAGTCGAGGGGGAACCACCCATCGATCAGGAGTCCGCTTTTCTGGTCTCAACCTCATGCTTGATCAGGAACTCCTGCAGTTTATTCAACTTCTCTCCTTCATGCTACAGTCTGGTGAGTTTCTCTTCTACTCTTTCATCATTGCACAGGCTTGTAGCTTCATCACTCTAAGAATGAAATAGTGAACAATTGTCCAAGACCTGAAACTATTTTTCTCTCCATTCTTTCTTTCCTCCTGGCTTGTGCTTTGAAAATTCATGAAGAAGAAGCAAATATGGCAAATATATTAGTTGTGATGAAATAATGAAAATTTAACCTTTCAGAGTGGTATTTCAAGCCAGTGAATGAAAAATATGAAACTGACTTCTTTCAAAGGTTTTTTTTTATTTTTGAAGTTTGTTTTTTTTTTTTTTACATGATTTGCCAATACAAATCATCTTCCTTTAGAGATAAAAACAACTCTATTTGTATTCCAAGTCAGAGAATACAAAAAGCAAGGGCAAAAAATATGCAGTTTCTCTTTTTGACTGGACAGTGTGCTGGTCATTATTGAGTTGGCCTAGATCTAACTGCTTTATTTTTATTTTGCCTTAAAACAATTAACTACTACGTTTTAAATTATGACCTATCAACTTACCTGTTCAACAAGCAAATTCCAAGGGTTAGAACTTCTCAGGCCACTATTTCACCTACAGTAGCTCATGATGATGACATAATACCTAGATGGCTCCCAAGAGGCCTTTGAAAACGATGATGCCATTAGACAGTTGGATTCACTTATTCATTTGCTTGCTAGCCCTGTGCTGCAATTTGCTATAGGAATGAGGAGAAAAATAATATATGTTTGTTGTTTTGATGCAGGTGAGTTTCGGCAAACACTGAGAGGCCTGGAGGAAGCAATAGGGAGGGAGAAGGACATGGGAGAGACACATGAGACATTCCTTAGTCTCACTCACTCTCACCCTCTCATCCTTTCCTCTTATTTCCATCTCCTTGCCCTACTTAATCACCAAGACCTGGAATTTTGGAAGGGGGTCCTTTCTCCTGGGTATGTTGACATACTCCTTGCACACTCTCCTCTCTTTCAACTAGAACTCTTGACTACCTGTTACCAGTTAACAGCTGATTGGGTTTATATCCAGTCTCCAATGGAATGCTGAGCAACATAAGTGCAATTGACATATTGCAATTCGCAAGTTTCTTTGTCCTCAAAGTAGCCATTCACATCTTATGGCCTCCATAGCTCAAAAAGTGTTGTTCTATATATCCTATACCAGGAATGCTTTGTTCATTGCCCACCAATGAATAATCATTCAATGGAATTCTTTCATTTTACCCATGACCAGTAGAATTGCTAGCTTGTGATTGTTGCTTACTAGGGACCAAAATCCAACAGACACCATTTAATTGCATAACTTGCAAGATTAACTATAATTTCTTAAGTGAAATATATGAAATTGACTGCAGTATATAGTTTGCTTAGCATAGCAAAGGTAACACAATTTCAAATTAGCTTCATCTCTCTCCTCATTTACAGAAGAGCTAGGAATCATTGTCCTAAGTTGCTTTGTCTTGATAAGTTGATATATCAAAATCGAATTCAAGAGCTCCATGATTTCATGTTCATCATACAGTATATGAATGCCCAACCCTGTGAATATTTCTACTTATCAGCAATAACTTTGATCATCTTTCTCTTCATTGATCTGCCATGCTTTATTTGGCCTGGTTGTACCAATCAGAAAGTAGCAAAAAAAGTTTCACAATGTGCTGAAATATTGCTGAACTTAATAGATTAATATCTTGACTTGATGATAGCATAGAAAGAGCTACCTTTGGAATCCATTGATATATTACTTTTTTTTAATTGTACAGGAGCAGTGGAGATCGAAATGGAAGAAGGGAGATGGTCCGACAGGCTGCCTTCCTTGCATTTTCTGACCTATTGGTCAGTTGAGAAGTTGTACAACTCTTTTTTCAATTAAATGCCAAGGTTTAACATGTTTATCTTGTGCTGCAGCACGAAGGTCTGTCAAGTGGAAGTGGAATGGGTGAATCCCTGACTTGGCTACTCTTGGAACATTCCCCTGTGCTGGTTCAACTATCTATGGAACCATCCATCTCTGATCTTCTGCATGCTATTCATAGAAATTCAGCTGCCAGTGGACTTTTCATCCAGGCCATCCACACTTGTTGCCAACAGGAATATAACCCACTCAATGTAAGTAACCACTTCTATCACTGGAAATGAATAGTATCAATAGCAGTAATTGCTACCATTGATGACAATGGCCAATGGACCTGGAAAGGGATACCTATGACATGCCTACATATAAATTTTACTGATGTCCTGAAATAGCATTCATACTGCCTTTCTTCTCAGCCTTACCAACATGAATGTGTCTGTCCTGGAGCCAAGTTCATGAAGTTTTATTGTAGCTTCTGGCTAAAAGAAGTCACCAGCTGCTGCTCTGTGTGTTTTCAAGAAGGAAAATTTAGTTGGAATCAGCCAAGGAAATATTTGTGTTATGAAGCTTGACCAATGTTGATGTGTTGGGCTATTTGCAGAGGAAGTTTTGGCACCTGGCTCTGCGGTGTCTGCGTGGGACTGGTCCAGCCCAAGCAGGTGCCCTGTTAGAACTCCTGGTAGAACACCCACTGCAGGCAGAATCCCTGTCTATTGTTAATTCGGCACGACAGCTGACCTTCAACATTGTTGGCAGCCTGGCTTCCATCCCCAAGGATGAGGCTCAAGGTCATCTTAAGCTGGAAGATCTGATGACACTCATCAACAAGATGGGGCTTTTTCTGTAAGTGCCACCAATGCTATCACATGCATGACTCTTCTAGAAGATTCTTGGAAATTTTCAGCTCTTGAAGAAATTTTGGCCTCTAGAAATTGTACCTAATTTTGGTCTGGATGTATTCCACACACATCAAAGTAAAAAAAACTCAGTATCTGATCATATTTTTACTTCTATAACATTTAGACTAGGAAAAAACATGAAAGAAATAACATTGATTGGTTGCAGAATATTTCCATTCATGCAAGGAACTGTTCGAACCCAAGAAGAAAATCCTGTGTGCATCTGATCATGAACACATACCATTTTCAAGATAAATGAGCTTGCATTTACAATCAGCTGCAATATTCAGGGTGTTTGTATTTAACCTTATAGGGCCAGAGCCGATTAGAGCAACACTACAAATTTCACTGAAAAGGGCCAGTGTCGAAGAGCTGACGATGAAAGGGTTAATAAATGTTTCTAGTCTGGCATTTGATTGTGTTTCTTCTTGAACTTTGGACATTTTAGTGCCCACTCTTCAACTCTGGCATTTTGAAGCAATATTTGTAGTGTCGCTGTAAGCGACTCTGGCACTATAAGGGTTATCCAACTTGGGGAATATTGGTCTGCTTGTTCATTGAGCTTGTTTGAAATCATTCGAATACCCCAAGAAAACTAATTGGGGCCATTTTGTGCACATCCATTTAATTTCATCACACGATTGTGCATATCCTTAAGGCTTTACAACCAAATGAGCCAGCAGTATACACCTGGCTCCACCAGTGGGTGGCAGTATGTTCCATAGGGGAGAATGACAATATGGTCTTTTGAAGAAACTATGTTATCAATTGCTCCTGCACAGGTTGAATTCAGGATGAAATGGAGAAGTACTCCAGCAGGGATATTGATGATATGTCTGTTTTATTTTAGAAATTCAATTCATGTGGAGACCACATTCTCATTCGTAAAGGCTGCAAACAACTATGTCCATTTACTAGGGAAAAAATGCCTTCCATGTGGTATTGATGGGGGCCTTGACACTGCATTTCTGCATCTCATCTGCTCTGCACTCATAATGTTTTTTCCTTGTAGAAAGAAAGATGATGTAGTCCTGAATCAACTGTTGGACCTAAGGGAACACCTGTATGGAATTCACAAAGATGGAGGCATTAGAATAGGAAGTCCTTTATGGACACCTCCTGATCCAGCCAAATCTCTAGATGGCAAAGCTTTGAAGGCCCTCTTCAATGCACTCCTCACTCTCCCCCATGTAACCATTTCATGCTGTTTTTGCTATTTTTGATCTTGGAATATTTTGTTATTTTGGTATATTTTCTGTCTGCTCTTGAGGTGGGCTCAGAGAAGGAATTAGTGGAACTGATTGAAGACCTACCACATGATGAGGTGATCTCTCTTCTCAGGACAGCACCAACAACAGTCCTAGCACATGCCATCACAGTTCATCCCCATTTGGTTTGGAAAGCTTCAAGCATTTAATTTTCACAAATGCAAATAATGATGACTCATCTCTGATTATCATTAAGGTGGAGGTATCAATACGGAGAGCAGCTCGGACAATTTTATGGGAACGCCTCGAGTCGAACCTCCCTTCTTTTCAGGCAGGTCCTCTTCCTCAGTCATAACTCTGAGTTTTGAAGTGAATAATGCAAAATGACTCATTTTGCAGGATTTGAGTCAAAAGTCAAACATTTTGGAGCAGGGTCTTCAACTGGGCAGTGCTCTTTCCCTCCTCATAGCCAATATAGCTACACATAAACTGGAGACCTTGGATCCCCTTCCTGCACAGAGCCTGATGATATTTTGTGTCTATATGTTGCAGGTTGGTCTTTTAAAATGTTAAATATCCCTCTCAGCTATTTTTGCTCATATTGCCAAGAATATTTCACAATGCATCCCTAGATTATATCTTAACATAAGTTCAAGTAGTTAGATGGTTTAAGTAAGCTATATAAATGCCTAATGGGATCCTATGAATTTTTCAGGGTGTAAGCAAATTGAAGCGTTGGGATCCCCGAGCTGTGCATGAAACCCTGTCCCATGTTGGAATCATCCTTGCTTACCCCCCAGTATCAGCTGTGTTCTCCCCCGAGATGTCCGTTTTGGCCATTAATGCACTATTTGACATTGCCTTTTGCCTGGCTGGAAGCCCATCTGCATGGAATAGAGACTCATCTGATGAGAGTGAACAGGCCAAGTGTCAGCTGTCAGTGCTCTTATCTGCCTTCTATCTTCCTGCATCACCTGGGGTGCTTGACATACCTCGAGGGTACCAGGCTTTACTCTTGCATCTTCTTTGTGTTTTGGCCCGTCACCCATGCTATTATCTCCACTGTCGTCTTCCGAGAGAGCTCAGTGGGGACTCCAACATCCCTGCTGAAGCCCTCGAAGAAACAGAGTTGCTTCAGGAATTTCTCTGGAGGTGATTATTACAATATTTTCTTGAAGTGGATAATGAATGAATGAAAACAAAAATGAAGAAAAAAATCAGGTCTAAATCATCATTACTGGCCACTTGATGCTTCAATATTTTTTGTTTTTTGAAGACCATGCAAAATTTCTGAGATTCTATGAACCAAAAATTCATTTTTCATCATTTCATCATAAAGCTTTATAGTCTATTACTTTTGGTTGCCCCTGTGCATTTATCCACATGTAATGATGAACTTTTTTGCCAGTAACATAAACTGAATAATGATTTCTGTACTTATAGTAGGACAGTGCATTTAATGTATGTATACAAGAAAACCTTGGCTTCTCTTTGTCATAGGCTACAGACCCTTGGTTGGCCAGGAAGAGCAGAATTTGAGGAGGCATGGATGGCCCTTCTTGCTGTCCTGGGTGGAGGGAGCAAGGATGCATTCAGCATGGAGGAAAGAGCTGTATTGCTCAAGTCTCGCTGCCTTGCCTTGACAGGAGTCTGTGGTCTCCTTTGTCAAGCTCTCCTTCATCCAATCCCTGGCTTCCCCTCTCTTCACTCACAATATGCTCGCTTCTTCTCGTAAGTCCAGTCACCCCGAGGCAGTTGATGATGTCCAGTAAGACTTCTTAATCCCCCTGGCAGCTTTCCTTGTGCATTTCTTTTGGAATTTTTTTTCTCAAAAATATTGATTGCATTCATGCCAGTAGAACTGTGCCAGAATTTGACAAATTGCCATGGTCATCATCTTACCATAATTCAACTTACATTCATACCCAAACAAGGTGGTTGAAATATCGCACTGAGAATTACATGTGAACCATTCTCATAGCATAAATCCATAATTTTTTTCTATACTATATCTTTGCATGCCAGCCCTCCCCCTTCATTGTTTGCAGGGGTCACCTGACAATAAGAACTATGTAGGAGAAGCTGATGTTGTAGTTGAATAGACTTAATCAAAAGCAGTGATTCGAGATGAATGCAAGGTACAAGATGTCACAAAGAAATTGACATTGCAAGATTACATTTTTATCATATTACACTAACTTTAAAAATCTCAAATACTTCACAGATGAAAAAGATGAAAGAAGCTCTTTTTTGCAAAGAAGAATGCATGAAAATATGCAATTTCTGAAGCAAGATGTAAGTGACTGAATATTAGTTTCTAGTAAATTTAGTTGGTATCATGTCACTGAATAATATGTTCAATGTATATGCTCCTCCTTGATGCCAGTGCACCTTAGACAATTTATGAGATTCTCTACAACTGAATGAGTTCTTCTTGGTGTGACTTTTGAGACTTCTAAATGATTTTGCAATAAAACAGCAATTTATTAAAAATTAAAATTAAAAATTAAAAGAGCAACTAGCAGTGCAGTGCTGAATTCCATTCTTTTGTAGGAAACTTAAGATTTAGTAGTGTTTTCATGTGCTTGCATCTCCACATCCTCAACTAAGCAACTCACAGAGGTTTTTATGTGATTGAATTATGCTTATGTACAATTTTTGTCTTTTAATATCTCACTGCAGAATCAGCTGATTTTCTTGTGGTTTCCAGCAAATGAAAGTTTCATCTTGTTTCTTTCTCAACCAGAAATGGGATGGGTCAATGGCAAATGGCAAGAATGGGATGGGTCAATTCTTGGGATGCTAAATCTTTTTGAGACACCCTGTGTTTCAGCTTTTTTTTAAGATCAGGTTTTCCATTAAAGAGCATTAAGAAAACCAATGTGTCCCTCAAGAATTGTCAAGTTCCCCCCCCCCCATTGAATTGCAAATTCATGCATTGCTGTATGCATACAAATGAGAATGTAAAAGACAAAGGTGCAGCTAGGAATGAGTGAATGAGGGACTCTTTTTGATGCAGGGCATGGTGGAGGGAGGACAAAGCATATACACTTGAAGGTGAGTGCCTTTCAATGCCCCTTCTTTCAAATAGGAGGAATGATGCGGTCATTGGTGAATGAGCATGTTGTGATGCCTGGCTTCTTTTACCAGGTGTGCGGGGGAGGTTGGATCGCATCGGTGTAGATGTCCAAAGTCCACTTGTTTTCCTCCAGGACCTCTTTTCTCAATGGCTTGCACAGCCTGTAAGTCCTTTATTGCTTAGATCTTAGGTAGATGAGGCTGAAGTCTGAGTATGTGCAGTCACAGAAATTATTTATCTTAATAATTTGTTCTGCTTGAATAAAAGTAAGAGATTTAGTGCTGACACCTGAAGTGAAAAAACTGCCAAAAGCTCAATGTTTCTAGGACATAATATCTTCTCTGTTGGAAGTAACAAAGATTAAGATATGAAAGAAAGAAATGAAATTGAGGAAGAATCAGAATTCAAAGACCACCATAAAATCATTTTAGAGTCAGAGTATTTTTGGAAAGTTTTAAAATCTTCATCCAGAACAGTTATGTTTTTTGTGATGCTTGCTTTGAGTAGTTTGGGCAGTGCATGTCTTTGAGATTATAAGAAACCTTCAGGTGAGACTGTCTATTTGCATGAGCACAAGGAACAGTACCTTTCTTGAATACTGGATTGCTTCCTGCTTGAAAATTTTGGCTTCAATTGAAACTATTGCAACCACATGGATGAAAGAAGTCAGTTCAACTGGAAATCACTCCAAAATTAAATGCTGGCTGGAAAAAGTTAATAGTTAGTGATATGATATTGTGCATATATGGATATGGGTGGGATTTTTGCTGGATACCAATGTGCAATGGGATGTCCATTTCAGAATGAGCTGACACCAGCCCAGTTGATGCACATCCTTCGGACAATGGTCTGTCTTCTTCCCCTGAGTCCACTAGGAGGCTGGGACCTCCACTGGGCCTTGGACACCCTACTGGATCTCCGCAAGGGCCTCCAAAATCCTGATGCTGAGCTCAGTCTCGTCTATGCACTGAAGGGGATCTGCTTTGCTGCCACCTTTCTCCTTCAGGTTTGACTTTTCACAATTCTAGTTTTTTATCCTGTGAGCCTGGTCCTTTGACCATTCAAAAAACCACCATGTGTGAGTACCCTGTTGAAGAAAAGCTAAGACATATTCCTATCCTTATTTTTTTTAATGCAAAACTTACAACACATCATCTATCCAACTCAGTCCTCAGGTTCTATGCCTTTCCTTGCTCCTGTTTTGTTTTTATTGACTTTTTGGTGCTGTTTTATTCCTGTTTGTATTTAATTCAGTCCCACCATCATTCCAGTGGAACTATTGATGAGCATATTTTCTCACAAATTTTATAGAAATGAAATTTAATTCAGCATTGCTTATGGCACACATTGAACATTAGTTGAGTCTTTGCATATTCTCAGATTTTAAATTCTTTATGTAGTTAAGAATGTTGCTGTATATCAATCTTGAACATTTCATGATAGCTGAATCCTTTATATCCAATTAGAATGGAGAGACATTGGGAATGAGAGACATGGAGGAGATAAAGCAGACAGTGGAGGAAGCCCTGGATCGTTTGCATGTCCCACTCCGTGTGACTGCCCTTCGGGGAATGGAAGGCTTTCTCCAATGCAAAAATGCTCAGCCTCTTGTGCAAGCTCTCCTCCCTTCAATGACTCACTTTCTCTGCAAGCACCTTCACTCCGGTTCTCAGTATGTCTTATTGAATTTGATGCAAATATAAATGTGGTTAAGTAGGTCTATACAAGAAGTACAATAACAAACATATATGTATAAACCTACTAGCAAGTTTGTGTACTCTTCTGGCAAACTAACTCTCAATACTGGCAGCTTTAGTGCTCAATGATGTAAGGAAATTATTAATTTCTCTGAAATATGCACATAAAACACTTCCACCTTCAAAAGTGGTAAAACTCAATGGGTTTTGGGCATTTTTCATTATGCCATCACTTCTGACATCATGGCCAACTTAAGGTTAGCAACATTAAACAAAGGAAGATTCTTTGCTTCCCTTGGAATTTTTCCTTCGTCCAGTGTGTTTTATAACAACTGTAAGAACCATTTTGGTCAAGTGAAACATTTTGGGGTTACCCCTTCCCACACTTCACAAAAGGGGCCTGGAGGGTGCCATGCTTCAATTGTATGATTTTCTTTGAAATGAACATTCCTAAAACTAAATGTTTACCAAATTTCAGCTTTTTCTATCAGCCTATTTCACTGCAGTGAACAAAAGATTGGAAAAATAGATCTGCAAAATATTTGCTCCCAGGAGATGTTTCTAAAAAGCAGGATTCCTTCTAAAATGAACAGCCTAAAAGCAATTTCTGTATAAAGTTTCAACTTTCCATATCTACCCCATTTGCAGGAGAAAAGAAATTCAATGGAAAATATATTTCCTGAGAAAATGTACCTCCAGGAGATGTACCCCTGAAGTGAGATTTTTCCTAAAAGAAATAATCCAAGAACCACTTCTGTACTGAATTTCACATATAATGTCTGTCCAATATGCTGGGTTTAAAAATGTTTGGAAAGTATGTGCCCCAAAAAATGTGTCCCAAGGGATTCAAATTATCAGTAAGATTTTTCTTGAAGCTAATGCACTGATAACTTACTTTCATGACAAATTTCAGCTTTCTGTCATGTGTGGACCTTTCATTAGAGTGAAAAAATTGCATGGGAAAAAACGACATCCTCCAAAATTTTACTCGCAAGGGGATTTATTCTGAAAAAGATTTTCTTTCTGGACAGAGCAATCCAATAGCTACTTGTGGGCCAAGTTTTAGTTTTCTATGTATGCTTCATTAACTGAAAGGAAAAAATTTAGTAGAAAATGTCCTCTCCCCCTCCCCTGAAAAGTGTGACATGGGGATGTTTCTAAAAATTAGAATTTTTTATGAACTCAACCTCCCAATGGCTATTTGTTTCCAATGTTTCAGCTTTCTCTATCTTCCTGTTTCATTGGAGCAAAAGAATTTCTTGGATGATTTTCCCCCCCCCCCCCCAAGAAAAAAAATGCATGACACCTAGGGATGTATCCTGAAAGTAGGATTTTCCTGAATTGAACATCCCCACAGGTTTATATGTGCCAAGTTTCAGCTTTTTGCATTTGCCTGATGTGCTGAAGTAAAATAATTTATTAGAAAACATGCCCAGAGGGGATGTACCTCCAAAATCTGGTTTTTCCTGACGTCCTTATTTTCCTCTACTCAGACAAATGAAATGAAAGAAAGTTGTTGCTGTTTGAATGCTTGGTTGCTTCTAAAAACGTACTGGTGTTGCTGCAGAGCCTCAGTGGCTAATCCTTGGTTCCAGCTTGTAAACCCTAACCCCTGTCAATTACCATTAACCAGTAAAATGCCATTGTATCTCAGCAAGTATGTGAATATATCAATATTTTCTGTTTTGAAATGGGAAGACAATGCAACTTTTTGAAGTCTCTACAAGGAATTGATATGTGTTTCCAGCATCATGCTCCAGAACTTGTGGGAGAGCACAAGTGTGTGGAGGAACATTGGACTGATCTTGAGTCAACACTCCCGTGAACTGGGTGACTCAGAACTTGGGACCAAATGCCACTTGGTTGCACTAGAGGGGATCAATGCCAGCCTCCGATCTCCATCCTACCTCTTTCCAGCCATCATTCGGGTATTCCAAGATCTCTCCTGATATAGTGTACTAGCGCAAGGGGATAAGCACAAACGGCAGGGATAAGCGCTAATAAGTGCTTATCCCTGCCGTTTGTGTGTAAGCTACTGGGAGGCTATAATGACAATTTAAGTAATTCTTGATTTGTTTTGAAAACCTAAAAAGTAACAAATAAAAGACTGTAGGATGAAAGCTCTCATCACCAGAGCTGCCCTTGTCAGATGTAAAGATTCAAATTTACTGGTATTGTACTTCTTAGCTTATGCCTATGAAATTTTCAGTGTGGTCAGAGTCTGAAGTCTTAGGAAAGAAGAAAAAGTAACTTTTACTTTACAAATCTACATAATTCCACAATGTACATTCTAGTTCATAGTCCTGATATTGCTCCAACAATAAGATGAGGAAATGTAAGCTTCTGTTGCATAGATGTTGTTGCACTCTGTTGCAAAAGCAGAAAGTAAGGAACTGTATTTCAGTTTTATTAGAACTGGGTTCATTCAGCCAAGTCTGAACATTCAAGAGTGATAACTCTGCAGTAGGACTAGCTACCAATTTTTACTGCACAGACCTCCCCATTGAAGACATTGAGTATTGGAAGAAACATTAGCACTATTAACCTTAGCACTATTAATCCTTTGGCTGTTTGCCTGAGTACATGGTGGTCCACAATTGTCTCCCCAAAAGTAAAAGCTTATTACTCAGGAAGTAAGCATTCAATTTCAATGATATGAGACTCAAACGATAGCCAATTCAATATATTTTTATTATGGAAAATATGTTCTAGTTTCTTATGGAATGCTGAATATTTTTACACTAAAAATATATCGAATTGACTATCGTTTGAGTCAGATATCATTGAAATCAGATTTATACTTCCTGATTAATAAGCTTTTACTTTTGGGGAGACAATTGTGGACCACCCTGTACATACTCGGGCTTATGCAGTGGTAGCATGGGAAAGTTATCAGGGTCAGAACATTCACTGTTTCTAGGTTACTTCACGGCTATTTATGCATGTAACAGGTATCTTCAATAGTTATCATGATATGAAATTATCTTACATAAACTATTGTTTTTAAACAAGCAAGGCCAATTTTTATATGAAAACAAATCAGCCATCCCCCCTGTGTTGTAACAGTCAAAGGGTTAAGAAGTAGTCTTATCCCAATCATACATTAGAACAAGGGCATAGGGTCTTCCTAGTTCTGAAATTTAAGGGCATATTTTCCTCATGAATTTCTTGGATGCCTTGTCCTGGCCAAGAGGCTACCTCTTTGAATGTCAAATATCAAAGAAGGATACTGCAGAAGCCCAATGGATTGTCTCTTGCTTTCTTATCTATCACTATCCCTGTTGGATAGTGGAGGATAGGAAGCATTCTGCATAAAAGGTGGTGAAGTTTGAGTCAGGAGGTCTAAGGGGGTAAGGTATGAACCATCATATGGGTGTCCCATAAGTCATTATACCATTTCAAAAAAATCACACCTACTAAATAATTCGCACAAAAAAGAAGTAACATCAACTGTATGATAGCATGTCATTTGGTATTATCTTTGACAAAAATGGAGGCAACTCTGAGTTTTGAAAGTGCCTCAAAATGCTCTCTACCTACACCAATACATTTGGCATGAGGCTTGGCACCAAAGTATTACCTAAACTCCCAGTGAACTCTGATGGGACTCTCAAAGACCTCCATCCAGGTAGAAAGCATTTCTTCATTACTCCAGCATCAATTGTGAAGCCGTTTCTGATGACAGTAAAAGCAAATTCGACAAAATGATTTTTTTTTCCCTGTTTCTCAAGTCTATCTGAATTTAGGAGAGAAAAACATAAAAATTAGCAATTTTATAAAGGAGGATTGGAAAAGGTGTACCATGAATCATCCTAAATAGGTACACCTTTAAAATATGCATTTGAAGCAATTTGCATTTGAATCCGATAGTCATTATTGTTAAAAAAAAATATTCTAAAGGATGTTCTTTCCATCAATCAACAGTGACCTGCTTGTTGCAGTTTGGAAAATGTTGCAGTTTGAAATGGTATAGTGACTTATGGGACACCCTGTATGTTGGGACACATGTTGGATATGGAAGGTTTTCTCCTTGTCTCTTTATGGATGAATGAAAGTAAATGAAGCCAAGGAGATACTCTGGTTTGGGTACCCTGAGTGATGTGAAATATGATAACATCCTCAATGATGCAATGATGACATGCACCATGACTATATTGGGCAATGGATCCTATCTCTAAGTTCAAGACAGCTCAAGTTACCACTTGAAGTGGTGCCACTTCTTTTAGTTCCCAGTTCACCCCTAATCCTGGACTGGCTGGAGAAAGTACAGACTCCATCCCCATAGAAAACATCTGATGTAAAATAGTCAACTGCATCATTTGAGATATATCTGATGTAAGGAACTAACTTAATTGTCACAGAGTCCACTTGGTAAAAAATGTTCAGACTCAACAGGTTTTCTGGGCAAGTTTCAGATCCTCAACATGAAGAATCATTCTTTGATTATTCCACTTAAGAAGGTAGATAAAATGCTACCCTAGAGTACAGGTGACAAGACTGATGTAATTTTTGCATGAAATGGAATTTCTTTAGAAATGCTGTTTTGCATAATTGATCTTGTAAAAACTGTGCTACTTTATCATCTTTTTTCATTATTCGTTTCCAGCATTTAAAAATTATCTTGTTTTTGACTTTGAGTCCCTGAATGGACTCAATTTATCCTAAAATCAAGTCTCCAGTTCACTGATTCATTTTAGGGGTGGAGGAATGGTATGATATCTTGACTTTATATCCAATTCCTGTAATAGTGTGGGTTTGGACAAAGGTTATATAATGCTTGTCTAGAGTTTTTCTCATCATCCACAGGGAGTAATTCTAGATTGAGAAAAGGGATGTAAATGACTTTTGACCAGGGCTGTGCTTTTATCTTGACAGGCTCTGGCAGAGATAACCCATAAACGAAGCCTGGATGCAAGTACAGAAAACCAGCTGATGAAGCTGACAGCACACATAATGCGACCTCAGCCAGGAATTCCTGCTCCACCTGAAATTACTCTCCCTCTTGCTTCTCTCATGGTTCTGCTCCTCTCCCAGTCCCCAGGTATCTTGGGTGACTTGATATCATCAAAATTTTTTTTCAGGTATTATAGAGTGCTCTAAGGGCCAACTGTGAGATTTTATTTATTTGTGAGATTTTATGGCCCATACTCAGTCCATAGGCCTAGGTGGGGAATATTCCCCCATGTCCCATCCAGCCTGCCACAAGAAGAATAAAGTTGAAGAAAGTTATGAATGCCATACCAACTTGATTGATGAAATATTATTGCGTATATGTTGGTTCAAACCTTCAGCATACATGGCACTCCACACTGCTGTGGATAAGAAAAAGAGACCAACATATAGCAGAAAAAATCATACAAGCTGGTTTCTTCTTGCCCCAAATCTGATTCACAATGCAGATTCTGAATTATTGGAGATTTTTACCTGATGCTGGGTCAGCCTCACTTCCACAGCCAGACCTTTGGCCCTTGTGGGACTGTATTTCTTTGTGATGTGTCAGATGATCAGTTATGCTGATTCCTCTTCAGATATTTCCCTGACTGATGAACTGAGGGGAGACCGCTCAATGACAGCCATGGAGTGGCTTACTGCGCTCTTTGACCGGTGAATTTTTGAAAACCATCTTTTCTTCTCTTTTTTTCTGAGTCTGGGTTCCTATATTATTCTTTACAAATCCAGCTTGAAGGGAGGTAGCAGCATTGAGGCAAAAGCTTTAGAGAAAGTCCTGCGTGATCTGGCATCATGTTCACCTGAGCTTCCTTCTGGGGAATTCCTCAACAAACTCCTGGCAGAACTCCTATCTCCACAGCAGGGGAATCCTCGCGTCATTGCCTCCCTTCTCCATCAGGTGATTCATAGTTCACTTTCACTTGACATAAAAAAGGGCTTGAAAGAGTAGATTTCCTTCATTGCATCAGATTCTGCTATTTTATGATTATGGTAATTATTCCATCTCTCACATTGTGTTCGTTCTACATTTTTATTTATATTACTAATATGGTAAAGTCTAGATAATTCCCCTCCCACCAGCTCCAGTCTCAAACTCTAATTCTCCCTTCTCATGAGTCCTTCTTCCATGCCTTTGTATTTGCAAATGGGAAAATATTGGAGGGCCTAATATAATTTTTCAAGTTTGAAAGCCTTTAAATCCTTTACTTGTTTAGGAATGCCTGGCTTCACAATCTGTCTCCTAGTAATCCATGTCTCTTGGCTAAGAGTTGGAAATCCATTGCCAATTGTTTTTGTTCTACTGTCTATATGACTTGCAATGAAAAATGCCTGAACATGAAGGCTGGGAAGGGTCGCCTTTACTTCTGTTAGATGTAAATTTGTGTCTTCAATTTTTAAATATTTGTGTTACATACATGCAACCATGATGTATTACAAGATGCAGAGCTTCATGTCAGAAGCCCTCCTGATATCACAGCCTGAAACATTCAGCTGAGGTTGTCATTGTTCTGTCCTTAAGGTTGCCATAGGGGAATTCTTCTTTTCTTTCTAGGGGAATTCTTTTTGACACATATCACTGATTTAACTTTGTAGTGTTCAGGATGGCTGTCATGCCCTTGTGTCATTCTTGGAGCAGGTGTTTGGGAGCTTACCCCAGAGTATGGTCCAGGACTGGACACTCCTGAGCATGAGTCCCTATCTTCAGAAGAAGTCACTTTGGCCCTTCTGTGCCCTTCTCCTGGCAGGGCTCCAAAGTCCATCCTCGTCCAGACCCCTCCTCCTCCTTGTCCTCGATCGCAGACATCTCCTCCCTTCGTCCTATCTTGAGTGGCTGGCTAAATCCCTTGTCTCCATCTTTGCACTCCAGGTTGGAATTCACAAATGACTGCATACTCATGACTAGTCAATTATTGATTGCATGACATGGCTTGTTCAGTTGATTGTTCGTGTCCTTTGCTGTCTCATCATCATAGCAGATGAAAGATTGCATATTGAGCCATCAACTGTTGAAATACCATTTCACCTTCATGTTGATAATTGCTATCTTCTTGATTGACTAATGATTGACTGATTCACATCCTTTTATTATATTGGGATTATAAATTGAACTCTCTTGCAGCTTGAAACAGAGGAGCACCGCAAGACATTACAAGGGATCCTGGAGACTGGGATGTACCACGGCCCTATCCTCTTGCACATGGTGTCGTGAATTCTTTCTGTGTTAGTTCCACGTGTGACGATCATTGTGATATCTGTCTGTGACCATGGAAACATTAAAGACAGCATATTATGTCCTGAGATTTTGCTTATTTTTTTTCCTAAGGGTGGAAGCTGTCTTGGTACTGACAGTCTGAGGGCCCCTCAAGTGGCTCTCCTTGCCTTATGATGAAATTTAAAATTCAGAAAAAGCCTAATTTATATTATAGCCTACTCTGAATTTTGTTAGTAACTGTTATGGTTTGCAGGTTTATTAAGTTCTCTCACAAGAAATGAAGCTATCTCAAGTTTACTTGCTGGCCTATAATGTGGCCCAAACTCTCGGGTTAGTTCTTGTGAATCTCTGAATGGAAAGATTGAGAGCTACATGTTACATATTTTATGTTGGTTTTGATGTCTTTTTTCATATTAGATGGAGTTATGTGGGATACAAAGCAGTGCAGGTTGTCCCAACCAAAGATCTCTGGTCTGTAATTGGGAATGTGCTCACCATCTTTCAGACGGCTGCCTTCCTTGAGGTTTGTCCCCACTTTGAATTTATAATTTTCTCATTCAACTACTCCTTTAATATTGCTTTGGCATGCAGCTTTTTTTGTGTGGTTTAAATATTATTGCTGGTGAGACCCACTGAATCAGTTGTTCATCAATCCAGTTCTCAGTCTATTTGAATCAACTCTTTAAGAGACTCTCTTTCACAGTTTTGTATTGTGTTTATGTTCTTAGGCATTAACGTTCCATGGGAAATTATTGGCACTTTTTCAAAGGTTGTGCACAGTGCCACCGGTTTGGTGCGGAGCAACCCGATGCTGACAGCATTCCAGGTGTCATCCCGGTTGATTGTGGTGTGGCTTCTGTATCTGGTGCCAGAGTCACGGTCCATTTACGGACTTCCTGCTCTTCTTGCGGCTTGGACCGTCACAGAGATAATTCGTTACTCTTATTATGCCTTCTGTCTCGTCCAGCTTCAGCCTCATTTCATCCAATTTCTCAGGTTCAGAAATACCCCTTTCCCATCAAGTTATGTCTTGTGCATCTATTCCAAAAATATGTGCCCAGTAGTCTTTGACTTCAACTAAGAATATTTTATGTCATGCCCATTGTGGCCCAGTCTGGTTGGTTGGTGCCTACTGGATTCTTATTACAGGATAGTTACCATGACAGATTTTGACCCAGTGTCAATGTTATGTACCTATTATGAAATGACTTGAAAGTCTGGAAAGCATTGCCTATGAAAGTTATATAAATTAGAGGTTACTTTTCTTCCATACTGTCCATCATGACCATGTCTGAAGGTGGATTTGCTACCTCTACCACTGTGTTGCCTAAACTTTTTGGCAATTCTATTCAAAGATTCTTTGTCTTGTGCTATCAATGGAAATAGAGGGAATTATTGTGAATCTCTGAATGGAAAGATTGAGAGCTACATGTTACATATTTTATGTTGGTTTTGATGTCTTTTTTCATATTAGATGGAGTTATGTGGGATACAAAGCAGTGCAGGTTGTCCCAACCAAAGACCTCTGGTCTGTAATTGGGAATGTGCTCACCATCTTTCAGACGGCTGCCTTCCTTGAGGTTTGTCCCCACTTTGAATTTATATTTTTCTCATTCAACTACTCCTTTAATATTGCTTTGGCTTCCGCTTTTTTTTGTGTGGTTTAAATATTATTGCTGGTGAGATCCACTGAATCAGTTGTTCATCAATCCAGTTCTCAGCCTATTTGAATCAACTCTTTAAGAGACTCTCTTTCACAGTTTTGCATTGTGTTTATGTTCTTAGGCATTAACATTCCATGGGAAATTATTGGCACTTTTTCAAAGGTTGTGCACAGTGCCACCGGTTTGGTGCGGAGCAACCCAATGCTGACAGCATTCCAGGTGTCATCCCGGTTGATTGTGGTGTGGCTTCTGTATCTGGTGCCAGAGTCACGGTCCATTTACGGACTTCCTGCTCTGCTTGCGGCTTGGACCGTCACAGAGATCATTCGTTACTCTTATTATGCCTTCTGTCTCGTCCAGCTTCAGCCTCATTTCATCCAATTTCTCAGGTTCACAAATACCCCTTTCCCATCAAGCGATGTCTTGTACATCTATTCCAAAAATATGTACCCAGTAGTCTTTGACTTCAACTAAGAATATTTTATGTCATGCCCATTGTGGCCCAGTCTGGTTGGTTGGTGCCTACTGGATTCTTATTACAGGATAGTTACCATGACAGATTTTGACTCAGTGTCAATGTTATGTACCTATTATGAAATGACTTGAAAGTCTGGAAAGCATTGCCTATGAAAGTTATATAAATTAGAGGTTACTTTTATCGGTATGACAGGTAGTACTGGTACAGACTTCCACCTAAACGATGGAGATGGTGACACAACGGATTTGAAAAACCGTTAAGATAAGTTTCTAAGAAACAGAACACGATAGTTACCTTTATCTCCCTTAAGCAGAGCCAGACTTGATATTCCAAAGTCAAGGGCTTGTAATGTCTCATGAGTAAAACTGAAAAATCTTATCTCCATTAAATCCTGTTGTGGGTTCTACTTACTTTCCTGTAAAGTATTCTTAGTTTTGCTTCATTCTTGTCCAAAACTGTGTGTACATGTAGGTTGCACGTTTGCACGTAGTAATAGTAAAATAAAATGGTTTCAGATTTTCAGGGATGGCATTGATGATGACATAAATCTCATATTACTAGATACACCCTTTTTGTGGTCCTGTATCCACTGGGAGTGTCAGGTGAGCTCCTCTGCCTCTACGCGGCCCTCCCTTACTTCAAAACACGTCGTCCCTTTTCCCTCGATCTCCCCAACTCTTGGAATTTTTCCTGGGACTCCCACATCGTTGCCTTGATCATCATGGCCTCTTATGTGCCATGTGAGTCTTCATATTGACCTATAATACATTGAATCAGACCTATAATAACTGGTGAACCCTGGTTTCTCTGGCAGTGTTTCCACAGCTGTACCTGCACATGTTCACACTGCGGAAGAAGGTCCTAGGTCCATCTTCCAAGAAGGCAGCTTGAATTGATACCTTCTGTGGCTGTGGCACTTGCAATATATTGTGGTTATATTCTGTTATCTTGCACAACAAGATTATTGGTTTACACTGCGGAAGAAGGTCCTAGGTCCATCTTCCAAGAAGGCAGCTTGAATTGATACCTTCTGTGGCTGTGGCACTTGCAATATATTGTGGTTATATTCTGTTATCTTGCACAACAAGATTATTGGTTTAATTTTATGCCGAGAATAAAACAGGTTGTATTCCGTGGTTATTGTGTTGGTTCGAGTTTCATTGCTATCCGGAAGTCAGCATGATCAATGTTCTTTAATGGTGTCCTGGAGTTCAGGTGGTTTATCAGGTTCGCTTTCTAAAAATGTTCTGGAAATGGTTCCGATGAGTTAATGCATCATTTTCTGCTCGTTTGATGAAGTTAGACTTCTCTTGTTGGGACTAATTTTGGGTCATGAGCAGGAGGTAGCTGGGTAGAAAAACGACTTAAAATTCTAAGGTTCAATGCCTCTCCCAATATGCACATCTGGCAACAGTGGCGATGGCCGTAAGCATGACGGCGCTGAAACCTTAAGAAGTCAATTCGTGGTTCTATGCTCTGTTCGTTCTGCTGAATTTTGATTTAGTGCACAGAAAATGCCACGGAGTGGAGGAGGCGGCCGGAAGCTTAGGAGCGGGAAGGAAATAGATCGACTGGAGAAGAAGACTGAGCAGGAATTAAAGAAACTAGGTATGAAAGGTCTTAATCTAAGTGAAGTAAACACGTTAGGCCTAAATGCTGGACTAGTTGTTGCGATTGGATTATAGGCTTGACGTTAGATCTCTCAATTGCGTTTAACGACTAAGTTAGCTAAAGCCTATCCAGGACTCCCATGGACCCCATTCTTAGCCCATGTTTCTTGCCTGTTTCGAGGCCCATGATATAATGCGACTTACATGGACCATGTAACTCCCTTGCTGCACAAAAATAGGCTAAAGTAAGCAGGGATCGAACCCATCATGTTTGGAATTCATGTTTGAACCATCAACTATTGGGCTTGCAGCTGTATTTTTCAAGGGAGGGGCTAGAAGGAGATGAGAAAGTATTAGCTCAACTACCCAAATATCTATCTGGATCCAGGGTAGCTCTGGACATGGACAATTCTAATAGTTTAGCATTAGCCTAAAATGTCTCATGACCAGTTCCATCAAAGGCTAGCCATGACCTACTGCCATATCCTGATGTTTGGGGTTACCGTCAAGCCAAGGCTTTTACGTTTCATCAGCTTGGTGAATAGTTCTACATAGGCCTAGGTTCAGGTCCAAATCTACACAAGTTACCAGACCCTATTTGAATCCATGGGTCATTCTACTTGAGCTGGTGGATGCTACAGATCAAAACACAAGGCAATTGCCTGATCCCATTATTAGCTGTGAAATCTGAAGTGTTCCTCATTGATCATGGCCTAATGCAGGGTGAGGATTAAACATCATGGGATCAATACTATTCACATAACTGTGAAGGCATAATGCATAAAGTAGATTTACACTCATGTAGAGAAGCTGGAGCAGAAGCAAGAGGGAAGTATATTCAACACCACACAGGGTAGGATGAAATAGAACCTAAAGTTATATGAGACTGACATAGAATGTCAGCTAGAGGCATGGGAGAAAGGAGAACATGATTAACTTGAAAAATGCAGTTCCATAGTTTCATTTGAACTCTTTCATTAAAATATGGGCCTTTTACCTATTTAAGCAGTTGATGAGCATGCCCACAAGTTGATGAGATATCCACATTCCAATACAATATGGTTTAGACCTCCATAACTTTCAATCTTTTTCTTCTGTGTTATGATCACCTACTCCAGGGTGTTAGAGATGCATGACTCCAAAGCATATGCATGCTTTGGAAAAGGATCATAGGTGTCCATATTACCATTCTGTGATCTAAACCTCAAGCACTATTTCCATGCAAATGATTTAGTATGACCTATACATCTGCCAACCTGATGCTCAGCTTTTCCCTTTTTGTCAGAACCATCACTACATCCCTTGTTCATTCTACTTTGTGCCCATCCTTATATAGGACTAACTTGTATTGTTGTTTATTCTACCCTCTGCCTTCCAAGAGAACTATATGCTCAATTTTGTTTGCAGCTCAGTTTTTAGCTTTAGTTTGATTTTATGCTGCTTCAAAATTCATACCTTAATATGCATTCACAACATAATTATACATCCCCACTATAGGTCAGGGACCAGTACTGTCAGAGAATGTGCCCATGAACAAGTGCAAGACAAAGTAGTAAGAAAAAAATCCACGATATGTTTGATCTGGGTAAAGTAAGAAGCTTTGAGTATTTTTAGTTGAGCATTATGAATCCTTAAAATATTTATTTAAGAATTCATAACAGTTTTCCTGTTATTTAAAATCAATATTTAAACAATAATTAAAACTGTCCATGTAATGCATGCGTATGGCATACTGACATACATACATACTTGTTCTGACATTTTATAATAGCATTAAGAAAAGACAACTTCCCAGAAAAAACATAAACCTCTGCCACCCTTTGAGACCATCCAATGTTCTTGGTTCATCTTCGAGTACCCTGCTCCAGACATTCCATAACCTGATAGGGAATATTGGACCTAGCCATAGTCATCCTCCGACTTTTCTCCCATAGCGTTCCATGAAGTAAGCTGAAATCGCTCCCATTAGTATTTGTTGCTGCAATGAAAGGAAGGCATCGCAAACGATTTTATACCGTCGTCTATTAAAATTCCTACTTTCTCTATGTGATACCACAGGCAATCCTATACGTTTCCTCCTGGTTGGATCAGATTTCGCATAGACGTTTCAACCTTGGAACATTGAAAGATGAAGTGGCAGTTAGACCAATGTCCTCCCTCCCTTTTGTGCCCTGAACATTCGTATCAATCGACTATCCATCCAGACGCCCGTGTTGCGTTGTTCTCACACGTCTTTTAGACGAAATGACGTGCACCGAGGCACGTTTCCGTGCAAATCGAGCAGTACTTTCTCTTGATAGAGCCCCAATTTAAAGAGCCCGATGAACCTTGTTAAAACCAGGAGGCGAACGTGTCCCAAGCACTCTTGGACCATGCGTTGTTCGTGAATCGGGACCTTCTCTCGTCTGCTGTCCACCCAGGATAGTCGTGGCCTTTGCAGGCTTCTTGTGTTCTCGCCCACGAGCCTTGATGCACCTCGAATGTTTTCAGCAGGAAAATTATGTTCCATGCATCGACTTCTTGTACGGTTGTTATTCTGTTTTTTCCTCAGGTAATTGTTTTTACAGCAGCAAGCAAACCTGCATTCTTATATTTTCATATCGTGTGATGACCCCCAACCTTAGCTACCGAATTGGTCCTTGGTCCTATCGTTCCATCGACCGCCTCGATTGAGTGCCAAAAGGTAACATTTTTCCAGAGTATAAATTGTAAGACCATGAAAACCAGTCATCGGGCACTTGATCTGTACCCATGTTATACGACCTTTTGAGGTAGAGCGTTCTTGTATCCCCTCCCACGTGACAGTCACGTGACCGGGATGTGAAGCCGCCCATCTGACGGAATCAACTGAATAAATTTCATTTGATCCATATCTTCGCGACAGTGCATTTTTACGTAACTGGTTAATGTTCCTGGGGATAACATTCATTATTATTATTATCATTTAACGTCGCTCTAAATTTCCAGCGTTCAGCTTCTCGAGGATTCCACTCTCGGCAACTAGCTGATCACTCGAAAGCCGCAAGACCCGCATGCAATTGCACCTGAAGGTATTATTCCACCGTGGAATCTTGAAAATGTAGTGGCTCTTGCATCCGGGATATTTTCTCTTGCTGATGGGAATCGGTGAGGTTTCTGTCGAGAGCATCATGGCATCAATTATGCTATTGAAATTCTTGGAAATTACGTGATTCGGGTGGAATGGATTCCTCGAGGTAGGCATTACCGAGGAATATGAGGGTTACCGGTGCAAATGGGACGCTGAAACGGCGTGCGCCGCTTCAAATCCTGTTCCTGTTTTAAAAAGTCTATAGAAACTTTCGATCGGAATAGTTTGTCCTTGTCTGGTCCTTGTTCTTAAACATCAAAGTGATTAATGTTGAAGGGGTCAATGGTCGGACTGCTACTTACGGAGGCCCACGTCTGCTAAGGTCCTTCGGTTTAAAAGCCAATCAGAATTTACGGTAGAATTTTATTTGGCGTACTGTCCGATCTGCTCGATTAATCTGTTGAGGCAATTTGCGGCGGAGGATGTAAGCTGGATGGAAGTGATTTTCGATGAGGACTCGTTTCTTGGCTTCTGTGTGGGAGAATTCAGCCGATAACTAATAATTTGTCACGTTTCGATGTCGAGAGGGCCAATTCTAATCAAAATTCGATCGAATTACCTCGATGAATTTCTCGCAAACCTTCAAAACCGCTTAAAGGAAAAACGCCCGTTATGTTATGCCTCGGCGATGAAAACTCCTGGATGCTCTTAACACATTGACCGCCAAGTTCGAAATATATTGTACTACACAGTATGGTACATCATACAAACTCCGGCGTGTGAGTAAAAAAATATGAAAGATTGGCTATTAATAATTTTTATACTTTTTTAATTTGTGGCGTTTGAATAAAAAAAAATGGTGGTGGTCAATGTGTTAAAGGTATGCATTATATGGGTATTTCTTGAGTTCGTTTTAGGGGGGACCAGGCCCACTTTCTAGATTTGACTCGAGTTTCTTCCACCCGGCGGTTAACTAATGGCGTAGTTGGGACACGTTTGGCCCAGCTAAATGCATCGAAGAATTGTGATGGTCGAGGGCTTTTTGGACGGTCTGCTCTCGCTGGAAAGAGCTCGTACGGGCCGTTTCCGTTTTCGTATCAAGAGGTTCCACCTTTCCCGTAATGCAGGGATGGGGGAACAAGGAAAAAACCATTTTCGATTTTTGCTAGAATGGTACACGCGATGCTGAAGTGGTTTTCCACCGTGATGGCAGGGAAACGTACTGGCACTTTTTTTTATGAGGGTCATGCCATAGAAGCGCAGATGATTCTGCCGTTCAGCGTGCTCTGCGTGCAAGCGCTTTCAAATCGATGCTAGTGAGGGTAAGCTTCACATTGAGGATTCTGAAACTGATTCTCTCGAGTTTGAACCAAAAACCCATGAACTATTTCCTGCAGAACAGTGCTTTGATGTGGAGCCTTCTTCGAGCGGAATCCAGCCTCGATCGCACGAAAAAGGAATCTCTTTTGAGATGAGTCGGGCAGAGATTTTCAGGTCCGAACCCGACCCTTGCCTCGATAATTCCACTATGATGAAACCCTGGAAAAGCAATTCGAGAGACCCGTGCGTCCTTGCCTTCGTGGTCTCAAGGGCGTTTCGCATCTTGCGTGTCGTGCGTCCTTTGCGTCAATGTTCGGGCGTGTAAGCAGACGCACGCGTGCATACGCATCTCCGCTTGTATTCGAGGGTTTCCACAAAACGGAAGGCTTGCATTTGGAAATGTAATGAGTTCAACTGAAAACTAAAGTCATGCGTTTTGTGAAAACCCTCGGATGTAAAGGGACATGCAGAGTGCACGCGCGCGTCTGCTTACCTGCCCAAGCATTGACGAGAAGGACCCACGACACGCAAGGTGTGAAACGCCCTTAAGGGAGTCCATGAATCTCACCCTTCTGCTCTCTTTTCAAATGGGTTCGAGGGCTTTTCTTTTCTTTCTAGGACGAAGCGTAACCTGACTAAAATATAAATAATCAATATTTGATCGACAGGGATTTGCTGAGAGTTTTCCTTAAGAAAAGGCGGGAGTATATGAAACTCCATCATAATCTAGCTGTGTTCAGACTGCTGGATTTTTTTTTCTTAACCTGATAAGAGTTTGAGTAGAGATAAGTTCATGAAATTTCAGATTCTTCTTTCATGGGCTTCCGATTCAGAGAGACACTGTAGAAACGGAAGCTTCAACTTGACCTTCGAAATTTTGGCTTTGAAAGTTCCTGGAGCTAAAAGGGCAGAAAAAAAAACTTCCCAAGACTTCTGGTTTGTACTTAATCTTACCATGAGCATGGCCTCACCGAATGGTTACTGACATTAATGTATAATTATTTTACAAGAACGGACTACTACATTGCAACCATCACTCCGAATGGCAAGGTGGTGGTGGTGGGGGGAGTTAGTTTGAGAGCAATTTAATTTTCTGTGTTTGTCATTGTAGCTTGAAAAATAACCTAATTCTTGAGTCTGTTTCCCATCCTCTCACGCCCCCTGTAGTTAGTAGTAGCAGAACCGTCCGTAAAACCGAAAATGTTGCGGAGTGAGCTTTCTTTTCCCGCACGACAGGAGACTGCATGACCGAGGCCAGTTCTACCATCGTTTCAACGTATCCCGTCAAAATGTCGAAAACACACGTGTCGACTGTCCGATCGTCGATTGCCAACTATGTCGAATTCCTGAATGGCGAAGGAATGAAATGTTGAAAGTCAAAATGTCGAAAGAGAGAAAAGTCGAAATGGACTTTTATTTATTCTGTCAATGAAGCCTTAAAAACTCGTCATGCCGAACACGGGAAAACTGCACTTGTTCCAGAAAGAAAGGCAAACTCATTGGCGGTTATAAATGTGATAACCTCTGACATGCGGCATTCAAAACTGAACATTATGTGCCACTGCACGCAAGTAATCATGCACTTCGCGGTCGGAGTAGGAAGAAACAATTTGATGAATGCGTTTTTCCCTTGATTCTTCAGCTTTCGTGCGGGAGATCCTGACAAGATTATTTCCATCTCTCGCGCTTGAAAACATTCTTTTCAGCAATTTGCATTTGTGAGGAGGTGCGCTTGTTACTGATGTAATCAACTCCGCCAACGCTTACTGATGCAGACAAATGATAAGGTGACAAAGCAGTATTCGCTGCCTCAAGGGAGCAGAGAAGAAAGAAGTAATCTCCTCTCCTTGATTATATCAGGACCCAAGGAACGGAAAATAATAACCGGATTTCGACATCTTGAGGATTCGACGTTTTTCCACATTTTGACGCCTTCGGTATTGTAACAATCAACATTATGCCCATTCGACATTGTGTGGCATTCGACATTTTTGCTAGTCGATATAAAATCTGACGACATTGTGGCTTTCGACATTATGTTATAGAACCTCGTTTCAACGGCCTCTCGTAGGGAGAAGCCGAACTCGTCCCTGCGACGCTGCTTGCCCGTTTGCCCCGACGAGAGATCGGCGTGTGGATGGATGTCTTTCAGACCTATGCGTTTCGGTTTTTGAGTTGACGATACGAAAGAAGGCGGAAGAAAGGATTTCGTAGATACTACTCACACAGAAGTGGACAGTTGACACTTGAAGAACATGAATGAACCTTTACACAGTGTGCGTAATTCAATTGTTCGATCCAGTGGCGTGGCGAGGGCGGAGCTTGGGGGCTGAAGCTGCCTCCTCCCCCCCCCCCACTTTTGCGAAAATCTGGCTACGACCTGGTTCGGTCCTCAGTGCTTTAGATGGAAAAATAAAAAAAATGAGGATGAGCTCGTGAGTAAGGGGAAAGAGCTTGCATTCGCATGTTCACATTCCACGGTAATTGGTGCATTCCTTCCTGTCCCCCTTGACAGGATGTCCAATGGCCATGCAATTCCACATGCCCTAAGCAACCGTAAGCACCCACCGGTGCGTGTTGCTTTCTCAGTGCCTCTGCCTGGATTTCATCCATGCTTAGAGACTTTTCATTATTCAAGTGAGCCCAAGAGCGCATAAAGTTGAAGATTGTGGAGGCGCTTTGCAACGTCTTTGGAAACGTTTTCACTCAATTTTCGCTTGAAAGTGTAAAACTTCCACTTATGAGACCGAACAGTTTGGTGGCCTCTTTGACTACCTCAACTCGTTGTTTGGATGACTATCCTTTATAGAGCAGGATTAATGTTGAACTCTCTCATAAATGTTGTGTTCCTTCCTTTGACTCGCCAAAATAAAAATAAAAAACTTTTTTATTTTTGCTCTTGAGCAACCAGCTATACCGACTAGATCCTTATGCCTTCTGGGAATAATAAAAAAATAAAAACCCAGTGCATTCCACCAGGCAAGCACACTTGGATCCATTTATCAGTTCAATAAGCAACACAGTGACATTCAGTGTTGGCTGGAAGCCTATGATGTGGAACCTTGTGCAAAATTAAAAGTTGGAAGAATTAAGTCTTCATCATCAAACTTCTTGACATCTTAAAGGAGCTTGAGAAGATATGACAGATGGGATCAGCCATCACAGAACCCTAGTTGAGACTTTGAGATCAGCTTACACCCTTTCAGATGGCATGATTACATAACAAGAAGCAATGTTGGTGGAGGAGAGAACCACAATATCATCCCTCTGCATTAGTAATGAAATCAGTGTTGCACTGCTTATAACTGCATACTGAATAATACTGAATGTTGAGTAGGCCAATTCAATATGCAGTAATTTTTCAGTAGCCAGAATATATTGTATTTTCTAATTGAAATCATACAGTACTTTTGTCTTCAGATAGAAATTTTGCATGCATCAAAGGAACCCATGTAGTGTCTTGCTGGAGGTATGAAAGTTATCGCTGTTTATGAGTCACCACAGTTTGGTGCAAGAGTCATATTTAGCTTGTGTTTCCCAGATTGAGAACCACTAAAGTCCTTTTGCTCTATTTTAGGTCTATTTGAAGAGGGAATGACCGCAGAGGAACAGAAACGTCTGCTGAAAGTTGTCAAGGAGTCCAAAGAGGTTTTTGCAATGGAAGAGGCAGCTCGGAAATTCGCAGAGGAGTTTGCACTTCCTGGACCCTCAGGTGAAGCAGTTGCAGGGGGAGGCCAACAGGTTGTATATATATACACAGGCTCTTGGAAGCTTCTGAAGTATATCCTTTATGCTGATGAGAGAGTTTTGGATTGGTTTGTTGTGACAGGTTGAGACAGATAAAGACCAATCGATTGAGGACAAGTCAGAGTCAGAAGATCTCATGGCTCATTCCATCCTTTCACCATCATTCCCAAGCAGTTCAGAGGAAATGGATCTACAAATGAAGCAAACCATTCAAGTTGTCTTGAATCGCCTGGAGTCACCAGTCACCAGCCCCTCCAAGAAGCAAGCCAGTCCTCAAAAGTCATCTAGTCCCCAAAAAGAAAAATCCCCCCCTTTGGATCCAAGGCCCAGTACTTCAAAAGATGGAAATCCAGAGACTGATGAATCCAGCCCCAGTCATGCCAAGGCAAAAGGTACAAGGGCAAGAAGGCGAGCTGCCCTTTATACTCCTCTAACGTTGGCTTCACCACAAAGCCCTGGTCAGAGGAAATCCAGAAGATTGTTAGGTCCAAGAAAGTCAGATGTTCCCATGGATAGTGTCCAGAAAGAATCAGAAGATGAACAGAAAGGGGAGACTCCTGTTCCTCCACATCATATCATGGAATCACAAATCTCTGGGTTTTCTGATAGTGAGCCTCTCCTCAAACGCATCAAGCGAGTCAATGTTGAGCTCAAGCGAGTCAATACAGACCTGGGAAGCCAAAAGACCTGTCCTAAGTCTGCTAGGCTTAAGCGCAATTCTCATGATGCCTCGTCTGCAACTGATGATGACAATGATAAACCTGTATGGGTATGTGATGTGAAATGTTCTAAGAGATCCAATAGATCCATTGATATGCTTGAGACTGATAACCAGGAAGTTTATGATGAAACAGTTGAAATGGAAGCTCAAGCATCATCTCTGAAAGAGACAGAGGAAGCTGAGACAGAAGAAGCCCATATATCTTCATCTTACAGAGAAAAGGACTCAGCCAGCTCAGAGGAAATGAGTGAAGTATCTGAAGCATTTAATGCTAGTGGTAGTGAGGAATTTCTTCCTCCTTCCACTGCAGAACTCTCAGTGAAGAAACTTGACAATTTTGGAGCCTACATTTCTAGTGTTACAAAAAGGTTCACAGGTCTCCCATTGCCTCCAATGTTTGCCAATGATTACCTAGACTTTATTGAGGGCAGACGTGATCTGACAGTGGAGGAAGCACAGAAAATCATCGAGGAACATCACCAGCATTTGTCTAAGGTGGAAGGCAACAAGATGGAAATGGTACCTTGGAACGTTCAGGCATTTAGAAGAGCCATGGAAGAAAATGATGACCACAACAAAAAGAAGAGGAAGTTCAAAGAAGCTATGAAGCAATGGGGGCGCCTGGTGATGCGAGCTGAAGAAATTCTATTTATTCCACCAGAGACCACCACATTTGTTGATATCATGAAGAGGGATGAATTTGATATGAATGAGGTTGATGATTTCCAGCATCCTTATGAGGAACGGGACTTGCGTCACCAAGGACGAAAATTGGCTAGGGAAAAAGGTGGGATATCGGACATGGAGGAGAATTCATCTGACATTGATTGGGCTCCAGAAAGGACAATGCAGACTAAACAAACAAAAAAAGTAAAAGGGTGTGGTCAGGCCAAGAAACTTATAAAGATTCCTAAGAAGGAGGTAAGACAGCACAATCTGTTGGAAGATGATGACTCGTGCAAGATCCGGGGTGAAAGGGATGGATCTCCTGACCTATTTGACATACGTCCAAAGGAGACTCGTGTTTCCAAAAGAGGAAAAGCCAGACAAGGAACTAAGAGCCAGTCAGAAGAAATAAACAGTGAAGATTTCTGCTGCCCAGGATGTGGAACTATGTTGCTGACAGACCAAGTTGAGGTGGGTATTCAGTATTCATTTCTTGTTTCTCCCTACAAGGTATTGACAGCAGCATTACTAATTAGCAGAATAGTCATTTGCAAAGATTGTTGCCAATGCTCTGCCATCTAAAGAAGGAATGGAGTGTTCCCAGACACTTTCTTTAGCCCTCTTATAGGAATCTTCTGTGACCATGATTAAATTTCTGGCCTTCAGTTGTATTGGCTAATGGATACTTCATATGCCATTTAGCAAATTCAGTATCCAGAGCTAAAGGTGTCCATTTGGAATTGGACATTGGCAAGCAGAAGTATCTATCTGACTAATACTGAGACAACCTCCAATACTGTAGCAAATATTGATGCATCTGGTGCAAACTCCATGGCTACCTGTATTCACCAGTCCACCTCTGGTAGCATGTGTGCCATAGAGTTCCTTGGCACTACATTAGGGTCAAATGAGGAAGTCATTTAACAAAAATGAGACTTTTGATTTTCTCATTGCTAATGGAGTCTGATCATTGCTTGATTTACACTCAAGTAAATAAAGCAAATAATAGATCTCATTACCTGCACCATTTTTTCCACATGCACCTGACCATCCCCATGATACACAAACTACATGCTTCAAAATAAAAGTGTGGTTGGCCTCATTGTATTTCATGATTTCCCTGAAAATGAGGTAATTACATTTTTAGCATTGATACAAGAAATATTGTTTTCTTTGCACTGCATAGAGATTTTTTCAGGTTTTTCTTGAGCACTTCAGAAATGACTGGCATTCAGTACTTAGGCTTGATTGAGGTATTAATAAAATTATTTGATACTCTAGCATGAAAACTACTTACTGTAGCCTTGTGGAACTTGGGAATAATGTCAAGACATTATGATGAGAAGATTACATTAAGGAAACACTCATAGGGGCATCCTAGTGTCATGATACTTTCAGCATATATAGCAGTTAGTACAACTGTGAAGCATTGACAATCAGTTCCCTTGTAGTGCTGCATATTGCTGACCTGTAAACAATGGAATAAGATTTCTGCAATGTTATGACTTAAATGAATTCATTGCAGAGGCTGTTTACACAAGGGAGTTCAGTCTTTGCATAACCTTTGTCTCTATCCTTGGACTTCCATTTTTGCTGAAATAAGGTAGGCCTACATTTCTTGATCATGATGAGAAAAAGGAAAACTAACATCAAAGGTTCTTTGATTTTCCTGAATCACTGATCAGAGCTGTTCAGTTTGGCATATCTTCATTACAAGGGCACTTTGGACAATGACTCAGATAGTCCTGCTATTTGTAGTTAGCCTGACAATTAAACACATTAAGCAATGTTGCCATCACTTTTAGTCACAAAAAATTCTGACATCACAATTGGTCCCAGGAGTAATGGTTTGTATGAAAGAAATTACAGATGATGGCCCACTTGTTTTATAAACCATACATGCTGGCTTTCATGAAGCTTCACCTTTCACCAGGCTGGAAACACAAGGGATAATGGATTCACAAAATGGATAGAAATTTTTACTTTAATTTTCCCAACAAAGAGATCTCTAAGGATATGAATGATTGGGAATGCAAGGCTGATGCTGCCAAAGCTGAGGCAGAACTCAAAGTAGTCTATGCCGGTTAAAAATTTCAGTTTTATATATATTTTTGCTTTTTCTTAAGAGATATGCCTTATCTTGGTGGAGATACTCATTTTTGCATGATATTCAGAGTCTGTCTCAAACAATCTCTGACTTGATCTTGAAACATCAATCATGTTTCATAATTCGCTCAAAAATGCATAGTTTATAATTTCCCATTAGGTGCACTCATTCTTTTTCTTTGCTTTGATTTTGTTTGTTCTGTCCTTGTAGACACACTCTGATGTCTGCAAAGGAAACTTGGGGGCAAAGCTGCACCTGCATTGAATTTGCTGCTTCTACTGCTGTGAGTCTAGAAAATCATCTATTGCAAATTGCAATATTTCATTTCAAATAATATTATAGTGCTCATAATGAGGGCCTGATGTTACTGTAGGTATAATCATAACATTAAACCAAGACCAGGCATCATTAGTTGATTATTTTATTTAAAAATGGATGCACATCCTTTGTCACAAAGCAGAAAATGGATATTGTGCATGAGCCACTAAGGTCTGGAGACCATGGGTCATATTTTCAAAGGGCTACTAAGACTTAATAGCTACTAAGTCCTAGTGGCCCTTTGAAAACATGGCCCCATGATTGGAACAAAAGATTCAAGGGTGAAGCCATAAGTCTTAACAACCTATTTTGCTAACCAGAAGTCATAAATCCTTAGGACTTTAGTGGCTTAATACATATTTATTAGTATATGTTGTACTTGCTCTGAATTTTCCACCAATTTGTGACAGAGGAAAGTATCATACCTAATAGCCCTGCAATTAGATCACAAGGACCATTCAAAGGATACAAAGCAGCACATGAACAGGGCTAAGAAGATTTTTCTATGATATTCTGAAAAGTAAAGAAGTGAATTAGGCATGAACAATTGAGCAGAAGAAGCTTAGTTAGACAGGCTCCCCTTAGGGATTCCTCTTTGAATCTGAAGGTCACTAACTCAAAGCCATCAGTGGAATCCTGCTCTCACCTCTTTGTGCATACTCATCCAGGTGTCCATCTTGATCTGCTGTAGTGCTATGCCTCTGCTCCAAGTTTTTTTATATCCATTGGCATTCACTGCCTCTTCCATGATGGTGGGTTTGAGTATCAATTCTAAATGGCAGATTTACACTGACCAGCAGGGCCAATGTTGACTTGATGGTATAGAATTATGCTCTTGCATTGAAAAGAAAAAAACATCATCACAGAAGTTTTTTAAATGCATGTCTTGGACATCTTAAGCCTTCACTGCATTGTGTTCCCGATATGAAACATAACAGGGTAATTTTCATATAAAATGGCTGAAGACTCACTGTGGTGAATGGGGAATTTCTGAAACACCCTTGATGTTCCCAATAGGGAAGAACAAAAAATGCTATTTAAATATATGTTTGTTACCAACTGGGAACATATTGAAAATGCTGGGACATTTCCATAACTGAGTAAAAGACCTTTTTTTGTATATCATTGCAGATTTCTTTATTGTTTAATTATTATATTTCATGTTTAAAAAGATGTCATTCATATGTTGGCTTAGATTTTTCTCACATCTTTGCCTGATCTTTAAAATATTTTACTTATTACAGTTTTTCTCTTTTTGCTAATTTCTTCCAATTTGGGAAAGACCTAAAATTGCTATAAAATGGATGAATTTTGGCAGTTTTATAAAATATCTTATTTTCATATCATCAAGAAAATGTTTATGAAATTTGAATGTTTTGCTTCGACACTTTCATATATCATGCAGTTAAGGATTTACAGGCCACCGTCTGGAAACCAGTACGAGTATCGGTTGTCCTAATTGGTTGCTGCATTCTTAAAGCTATAGTAACATTTTTTGGATTTCAGTTTTTACTCTTGTTCTTTCCAAACCATTTTTCTTATGATTATTCTAATTTTCTATAGGGATGTACTAATGGCAGGGGTGGCCTACAGGCCCATTTCTGATGGTGATCTTAGATCCACCTATGTGTGCCCATGCCAATTACAGAAATGCAGGTGGCAGTCAAAGATTGAATTATGCTTTTAAAGAAATGCAACTCCGTGTGTTTAATGAATCGCTCACTGTAGATGCATACTCTTAAGTACTGATCTAATTCCAACCCCTTATGACTGCCTAGAATTAGAAGGCTAGTTGATGCACTACATAGGGAGTCAATTAGTTTACAAGACTAAAGTGACTTTTGAACATCCTAATTATGTTGATTTGTAACCTTGGGAGGCCAGAGGCCAGCAACTTAGACTTGGCAAGGAGGGGAAGTCTGGTGATTGGTTGATTGATAAAATTCACATGCATGCTGGTTTCTCTCTCCCCCCCCCCCTCTCCTTTCTCTCCCTCTCTTTTTATATTTTTTCTATAATTTTTTTTTTAATAGATGGGAACATGAACACCACCAGCATGGCAACTTATCAATTGCTGATAGCACCAATAATGCTGCATTAGTGCTGGATACAAATGGTTTCTGCCTTCTGACACATCAGTTCATCTGTAATGCCACTTGGCAATGATTGATTTCAAAACTGCATTCCAATTGCAGTTCAGTTTCAGTTGGCATTTCCTTGTGATGTTGACAAGAGCACAGTGGAACTTCAGTCAAGCCAATGTCTGAACTGAAACCAGAGCCAAACTGCAACTCAAGTGTTGTTTTGAAGTCAGCCATTGTCATTTTCTTGGAGGAGCATTGTTCTTCACTAGGTGAAGTTGTTTGCTGTTTGCCAGATGTAACATTAATATGTACAATATCTTTTTACAGGGATATTCCATGTTCAGGTGAAGTGCAGCCACAAAAACCTGCCTACAGGGTGTCCCAGTGTTCTGTCTTCTGTGATCTTCCTTCTGTTCATCAGTTCCTTTTTTTTGGCTTTGCTGTTAAATTTTTTTTTTTTCTATTACTTATTAGTTTCTGTTGTTGAGCTGAAATGAATTGGGATGAAAATTCCATACCATCTCCACCCAAGGTTCTCATTCACTCAGGACATTCAGACACAGAGGAGGTTTGGGACAGGATATTGAGACATGGATGCCTTGAAATACCATGATGACATGAATCATACCTGGTTCAGTGTAGACTTGGATGGCAGCTGTGCCTCCACATGTCTGCTTGGGGTATTCAGGGCATCCCACATTGCACCATGCATCATCCCCTTGTTTCCAAGGTGGTTGGATTCTTCCACACTGGCAAATTTTCCTAATGAACCAATACCTTTCTTATAATAATTAACATAGCTGTACTCGACGTTTATATCTCATATTGCTGTGCTCCATATTCTTATGGATCTTGTTCTGGAAATCCTCTGAGGAAGTTGATTACAGTCAAAGTATTAGGAAGCATCAGCACCAGAAGAGACAATATACAGAAATCAAGCACCAACAGTATGAAGTCTCTTCCTTCTTTGCAAAGCTTATATCAGTGAAGGTATCTAATTGGAGGAGCTGCCCTAGCTCCTCTAAACTAATTTTCCATCATTTTGAAGTCAAATTGCTCAAAAGCATACTCTTCATGGTATTCCCAATAAAAGAGAAGGCATGGCTTCTATTAACGGAATTTCCTCATAAAATGATGTTGCAGACAGCAATGTGTTAGGAGCCATTCTGACCAAACAGGCAAAAATGGGCAGCTATAATCATCATTTCATGATAATATGCATATGTGAGGTTCATTTTATGAAGATGAATCTTTGGCATCTATTGGCACACAAATTTCCGATGAATTAATTTATCTGTCTGCAAAAAAATTTCAGCCTACAAAAATTGGTTTTAAAAGTGTGCACAATTTACAAACAAATCCGGTTGTTTACAAAGCTAATAACTAAAAGGAAAAGAAGTCACTTACCAGCACCTTTGTTTAGAGTCACTTTCATTCTCTCATCATGAAGTGGTTATTTTATTTCAAAACACTTACTGCAAGGAAACTGACTACCTCAAAACTACACCAGTGTGTGTTGTGATGTTTCCCAAACTTTAAGCAATTATTCCATCAATTCAGAAGGGGGAACTGAGAAATTTAAATGTTTTAGTGCCGTATGGACACCAATGATATGAAAAATATAAAAATTGCATATTTACTGTATCTTCATTTTTCAACTTTTGGCCAGGTTTTTATGACTTCCAAACTACTGTGGGATAACACAACTGCACACCATGCCAGGGAGGCAACACAGCTTCTGCAGTGGGAGGTGCTACAGCTGATTGTACCAGATCTGTAGCCAGCTAACTCACCTGAACTCAACCTAGTCAATTACAGTTGACTCTGCTTATTGGAATACTCAGAGGACCAGCGAATTTTACTCCATAATCCAGAGTATTCCAATAACCAAAACTATCTTCTGTACCATACTGTATATCAGGATCGTGCAATGGTATTCCATTATGTGGAGTTGACTGTATCAAATCTGGAGCAACTTGCAACAGATGGTGTACAAGCAGAGAATTCAAGATGTCCCTCACTCAAAAACTGCTTCAGCAGAAGTGGAACCTGTTTCAGAAATCTATCAATGGTGGTTCCACTTGCAAGCATGCTGAAGGAGAAGAGTGGCTGCATTGAGCATCGCTTCTGGCAAGTGTACTTAGCTATTTATTGGCATGTAGTACCAAGTTATGCAGTTTGACAATGAATAAAGTGAATTATTATTGGGGTTCACTGTTTTCATGTCACTCTGTATGTTTATGAGGCTACTCATTGCAATGAAAAATGCATGTGAATTTCTGGAATGTTGTGCTTCATTTTGCATATAGTGCAGGTTATGGAGAGTGGATACTGATGTATATTCATTCATTTGTTTCACTTCTTTTCTGGAAATGAGGGAAGGGATTTTATATTTGAGCTGGTATTTAACCCTTTAAATGCAGAAAATATTTCCTGTGGTGGGTACCATATATTTTCATACTCTGCCATATATTTTCAGGATTTTTTTACACTTAACATTTCCAGATATATTTTCATAATTGGTGTTGGATAGCCTATCTTCTATTTTGAAATGTATTACTGAAGATATTAGTGTTAGC